TCCCCCAGTCATAGTCTTTTTACTACGGAAATGTTCGTTTAAGTTGACATCCTCACACTTTTTGTGAATGTAATAAATGTAGTAAGTTAGTGTAAAACAATAGTACTGAAAGATGTTGGAATTGGAACATATCCCCCCTCCCGAATCAAACAATTGTTTCTTTTTGTGTTATTGCTTGTCAAATACTTTTCAAGTTCGTTTATCCCCCCTTTTCAAATTCATTCTAGGTGACTGCTATATGTTAGCGATTTTCGAAAAAAAAAAAGAGACTGAGCATGATAAAATCAACTTGTATTTTTTCTTTTTAATAGTGGGGGATTAAATATGTACAAAATATATCGTTTATGATAAATTTTGTGTATCTTAAGTGATTTAATCCAAAATAATATATTCCGTTTTCCGTTCCGTTCCGCTTTCCGTTCCGTTTTCCGTTCCGCGTTTTAGCAACACCCGCTTTAAAGTAGTCAAACCGAAAGTTACTCTTAATAGATACACAAGCACCACAGGCACTTGTTTCTGTAAAAAAATTTTGATCCATAGTATAGTTATTATTATACTATGGGTCAAAATTTTTTTACAGAAACAAGTGCCTGTGACAAGCACCCAGGAAAGTTTCCCTCTGTATGGGCTCCTAACTGCGATACCTGTGATTTTTTCCCATAGTTTTTAGAACACTGGCCTATGACTAGCCATACTTTATACGAAAAACAAAAACAAACCACTGAAAATCTTCTGCCTAATTCGCGCCACTAATTTATTGTTTAAATGGAGAAGTTTAGAGAGTAATCTTGCCTACCCTCTTCTCCGCTCTAGAAAGGACCAGTCGATCTCTCAGTGTCTCTTTTATTTATACTAATGCGAGAGTCTACTAGAAAGAGGTTTTAGGTTATTTCAATAACAACAATACAAATCAGGAGCGAGCTTCTAAAACATCAGAGGTGGATTGGGTGTCATTCAAAAGAAAGTTCTGTCGACCTGTCACCCAATGTGTGTGCTCCTTATCATATTCGGGAAAACAAAAAACAATCTGTAGACAGTTTATTATGTAAATAATGGCCTAACTAATAGTATACTCTTCAAAAAAAGAAACGCATCGTAGAATTTTAGTGACACATTGAACATAAAGATTATTTAGTAAAATGATGCATTGATAAAACAGAAATGTGGTAAGCAACAGGAATACTATCTTAATGTCATAATTACTCAACAATTTTAAAATTATAGTCAGTTTAAGACCATTAAATATCAATATCTGGTATGCCCCCCGCAGACACAAATGATAGCCACAAACGGCATCTAATGGCAAAATTTTTATATTTGCAGCAAACGTGTGTAATAAAAACTGTTTAGGAATACTCTCCCACTCCAAATGTAGAACTTTAGTAAGCTGTTGCAGAGTCTGGGGATGCGACTGTCTTTGGCAAATCATATCAATCCATTATGTACAATGCTGCTTAATTTGGATTAAATCTAGTGATATAGATGACTGTGACTGAAACAGGTTGTTGTTTCTTTGCAAGAATAGGTGTATCAAACGAGCCATATGTGGCTGTGTATTGTGAGATTGCAATACGGCTCTAGGATGCTGCAAAATTGAATGGGTATGTGGAGGCAGAACATGGTTAGAGTACCTTTTTCCATCAAAGTCCATTGAATTCGAACCAAGTCAATCTTACTTTCTTATAATACCATTTTCCATATCATTACACTACCACCACCAACTTTTTTAACGTCCTGGAGGCAGTTATCTATCTAACCTTCATTAAAAGGCATTAGCACTCTTAAACTTGTGAGAGGCTTTCAGATAAACATTCTGGACTAGTACCTTTTCGGACAAATGGTAGCTGCATAGGTTCACCAAAATGTTCAACAGTGATGCTGTGGTCATACTCTATTCATCTGAGATCTTTGAAGTCGATATTTGGGGTGTTGAGGGGTCGAAAAATGGCATGAATAATACTCTTGCAATTATTCGTAGTCAACTGAAAACGGTCTTGTGAGATGATCTGTGAAGTTCAGGGATAGCTAATGCTTTAGATGACGTCCTTGCATTACATTCATGCAATTTGCATTATCCTCGGAAGTGATGCTGTGCTGCTGATGTCACACGTAGTCTACCATATTTTTTGCGAACAGTGGGTGTTCAATGTTAATGGTTTATGTTTTATAGTTTAGATATGGTCTGTGTGTAACATTAAAACCTCTTGCAATTGTAGATTGTGGTACCCCTGCTTCCAGTCGCCCATTTTCCTTTTTGTGCCACGCAACATTCAGATGCAGCATTTTTAGGAAACGTCATTTCTCAGATAAAACAAGATTCAAAATATCAGAACCCCCGCTTTTGATAGCCCCTTTGTACCTGAAGGAATTGCATCGGAATTCAACAAATGAAAATTGAGATAAAAATTTTGGTGGAAATTTTGCAAAATCACGTCTTTTTGTCTGTGAGACTTGTAGAATAACTGTAAAGTTAACAATTGCTTTAAAAAATCATTCATTTCACTCGGATACATCATATCCATACAAAAATAAAAGGTATGACAAAACAATCACAAATTTTCAGGGCATTGTTCCTACTATGCGTTTCTTTTTTTGAAGAGTATATGAAAAACGTAAGTGAAAATTTGGCTTTATGATAATTTGTATTTGCTTACAGGTCATTGTTTCGACCTTAAAACTTAATTCATTATGGCTGTCGATTTTCTTGTTTCACATCTTCGCTAGCCAAGGGTTTCTGATACGCTACTCTCCTCATAATCCCTTAATTGGCATACGGTATTGATAGAAGTTGGTTTTTTTTTCTCGAGTTCTGATTGGGATTCGGTACACCCGGTCGACCAATCAGCAATTGTTTTTTGTAAATGACGATATTTGCGTTCGGGATACTTCTTGATTCTTAAATGTCGGAAATGAAAATCGCAAGTAAACAACGATCCGTAAGATAACATGCAATTCTATGAATAGCTATGGTGTCATCCAATATCTTCTAAACATTTAATTAAGAATCTATATTAAAGCATCAGATTTGTACTATAAATAATAAATAAATATAACTCAATTATTGCTTCTTAATTATTCTTGAAAAAAACTTTGATTTAATTCTTTTTTAAACACGCGTCTTTATTTCTGTCGATGACGCAATCTGTGCGTACCTGATAGATTCGAGATCACGTGACGAAAACAATCCCGTCTTTTGACTTCACCTTATGCCAAGGGTTCATGAGGAGAGTAGCGTATCAGAAACCCTTGGCTAGCGAAGATGCTTGTTTCATTAAATTGTTTGCCAATAGCTTACTTCGTTTTAGAAATTATTTCGTACGTACAACATGCTCTTGAGTATCGAATCAGTGGAAGACCTCAAACCCCATATTGAGGCGAAAAAGGTAAACTGCAGTACAAGTAAGGAAAGTTGACTACAGAAAATGTTTTCGATATATCTAAATATGGAGTGGAAGGTAACGGCAAGTGTCTTCTTCTTGTATCTGATTAATTTTTACCCTGTGAGGCAATGAAGATAACGAACAATATTCAAGATCAAGAATCCATAAACAATACAAAACAAGAGCAGAGTGAACACGGACCTCCAAAACACCAGAGGTGGGATCAGGTGTCATGGAGGAGTGAACATCCCCTGCCGACCGGTCACACCCGCTGTGCGCTCCCTGTCATGATCGGGAAATAACGGAAAAACCCGTCGTCAATTTAGTGTATAAATAATGGACTAACAATTAGTATAAAAAAACGTCAGTCAGCATTTTCAAGATTTCCTACTAGTACTTATGTGGCTTTATAACGTACATTGTAAGAGCTAGGGATTTTTCTGTCTTTCTGATCATGACAAGGAGCACGATGCGGTTATGCCCGGTCGACAGTCAAGTCAAACCCTCAATGGCACCTGATACCACCCCTAATCTTTTATAGGTCTGTTTTTGTTTTCAATCTGCATTGTTTCAATGAAAATTTGAGCTTGATTTATACCATTTGTTATCTCCATATAATTTATTCAAGGAGTCCCTTAAAAGTGGATTAGAATCTATTCTCTCTTAACCGCTTAAAAACAGAAAGATCATTGTACTACACAGTCTACAGCTGCAGTAAATGAACTTGTTTCTTAAACGGGCTTCATTATATCACTTTATAATGTTGCTGATGTGAACATAACAAACAAGCTACAAACCACTGAAATAATATGCCACACGACCTTTGCATCACTTCAATTAAAACATGTAGAAAGACAGGGCGAAAGTTGACTTAGGACTCTTTCCTCCCACCAGAAGAAGCGTTTCAAGCTATGGTACCGATCTTACATATAACTACAGCCACTTAACAATCATAACACTACAGTTTCTAGAAAACGCCAGGATACGCCCCTGAGATCTTACCACGTAGAACTCCGGCTCTCCAATCCTCACACTACATGACTCAAATCTCACTCACTCGACTTCAAAATGCTTATTTTAACTAAAAACATTTTACTCTATTTTTTGTAAAAACGACAATAAGCTGACAATAATGTTGAATTTCCTTCAAAGTTAGACTATATTAGTTTAAATCTAAACAGCAAAAAATATAAACCTCTCGTAAATATAGAAAAATTAAAGAATATAACTGAAAGATCAAACTTTAGGGAATAGAATTAAAACCCTTGGTAATAAAAACGTCTTGTTACAAGCACCGTACACCTTACTGTAAAAGCTCTTACATGGTAAAGAAATAGTCCAATTACATGTTCAGGTTATCTGCAGCCAGCGATCTATATTTTAACTTTGAGTGTCACTGCGTAAAATTTTTATGTTCCAATTTATACTTTTCACTGTTGTTAAACCTTTTCTACAATTATAGTAATGAATTGCATGTTGATAGAAAACAGTTTGAACAATAAATCTCAAAATTGATTAGAATTTTTAGTATAGATCTAAATAAGACACAATACATTTCAAATGCTTATCATGGACGGTTACGCATAGAAATTAGGAAACTATTAAGGTTCTATTGATAAGAATATATATGATCAGTAGATTCGGACATACAAGCATTATTTTCAGGCTGGGCAAGAACACAAGATGTACTTACTGACAGGACTAACATTATGTACAGTGTCACTTATTGTTCTGGTAAGTCTTTGCCCCTGAATACTGCTGTTTCATTCTTAATTCTTTTTAGGTAAGAAATATTTGTAAACAAAAACACAACTTTTCTATGGTACTTGTACTAACTCGTACGGTTGTTGAAACTAGAATATATTGTAGATAATTTGGAAATGTCAAAAGCAATGAATATTATCAAACAAAGAATTACTTCTAATATATTAAAATATTTTAATTTTCTCTATCTGGTAGGGTGCTTTGAGGGATGAATGTGCCTCTAACAGTGATTGCCCCACCACACACTGCTGTGTGACGGATTACCACGGGAAGTACTGTTCCGCCTATCAGAACGCCTCCCAGCCTTGCCATCTCCCTGGTCATTCACTTCACCTCTATCATTGTAACTGTGCTCCGGGTAATTCATGTTTGAATTCTACTCACCTCTCATGTACCAACGTTCTCGAAAATGTATTCGACAATTTTAATGAAACTGCAGTCTTATTGTGTATGCGCAGTTAAAAGAAAATTATTTAATGCATTATGGTCAGCATTGGTATGGAACCGGTTTTTATTAAACCAAGAAACATGAAAAGTATTCTGTTTTGCATCAAGTCAATATGTCCGCTGCAGTTTGTGAAGTTCTAAATGTGATTATATTAATATATGATATGTTTTGTTGAAGGTCACAATTGCCAACCATTCCATTTATCTGCGGAGGGGTCAATAGCTGGTGCTCTTCATCAAGTGGAAGAAATCATGACACACACCGGTTTTGGGACATGCGAACCAATTGTATAGATCTGCACCATTTGATTAAATTTATAAAATATGAAATATCTATACAATTCACTTTTATTTTATTATTAAAATTTTGTATGTCCCTCAACAACTTTACTTTGTCTATTCGAAGACATGTTCCATCATACGAGATTTTTAATTAGTTTTTAATTTTTTTCCCATCCCAAGGAAAATAGTTATTAATTTTTCTTAGATTTTTATCTAGCAACGATCATCTTTGGTAGATTTAATATTTTTTTTCTAAAATGAAGGGTTAAGCATCCTATAATACTTACTGTCAAGAAGTACATTTGAAGAATATAAAGAGTGCTTTATCAAATTGGCACAAGTGTGAGTGTTTTCCCTTTAATTAATGACCATTTGTTTTATTCTACGTTGCGTACAATTTTGTTACAGAAGGCATGCTGAAGAGATATAACATTTGATTCACAAAATAACACAGTAGGTTTTGTCATATGCTGAAGACTTTTAATGATCGCAGAAATTTGATTTGAAGTGCGTTTATAATGAGGAGTTGCCCTTAATAATACCCCATGACTATGGAGTATCATTTCATTTAGAATTAAATATTTATGGTTGCTGTTGAATAACAATTGTTCAACTTGGTACAGGTTATCCTTGATTCAACTGATTCAAGTTTATTTAAATAAAAGATCAAACCATATTCCAAGGGGAGATACAGTTATCAAGAAATATTGAAAATTTGTAGGGTTTATTTTAAAATATTTACATCCACTGTTATCTTAAGAAACCCCAGAAATAAACTACAGTAGGCAAAATTTTAGTTCCATCAATGGTATAAAGACGTTATCATTAATAAAATATCTTTTTAATCTACTTTAATTGATTATTTAAACAGATATAAATATAAACAATAAAATGTCTTTCTTTGTTTGTTATTACTGGACAGAAAAAATTTAATAAACGCGGGTTATGATGAAACTTGTTCAGTCCAGTAATAAGGCTTAAGAACAACTTGGACAAAAAAGATGAAACTTGTTTGAAGGCTTCCTGAGATAACGTAGATTCGGTTTTCTTCAAACTAGGCCCCTGGGGTGTATCTAACTTTTTTTTAGAACAGGAAAACTTTTAAAAGACATACCTGTTTGGAAAAATCTTCAGGTAATTTAGTTCAAGCTTAGTTTAAACATGAAGCTCCCCAGTAGGGGGAGGGGGCGGTTAAAATGCGGCTCAGTGGGTGATCAAAGTCTTACATTAAAAGTCATAGATATTTTTTTCATGATAGTCATGACTAGTTATGTTTTGTATAGATTCAAATTGTTCATGTCATGAACCTCTTGGGTAGGGTGGGGTCACTTTGGGCAAGTTTTAATGGGTTTTTACTATGTAGGAATTAGTTTTCAAAAATCTCAAAAACAATAAAGCCATGATCACTTATATAGAAGTACCTTAAGGTAATGATCATGACCCCTGGGGGCAGGGTAGGGCCACAATGGGCAAAAAGAATACATAAAAAATATCTTTAATATATCCTATTGTTATACCAGGGTATTTTGCCGAAAGCATTCTTAGGATTGATTCAAATTTGTTCAAATCATAATCCCAAGGGGTAGGTTGGGGCTACAATTGGTAATCAAATTTTTACATAGGAATATATAGGAAGAAGAGTCAGCTGATGCAAATCAAGAAAGTCAAAAATTATTCCGGTCAGGGTTGTAGTTCACGAGCCTCTTGTTTAAGATACCAGCGTTGTTTAAATGTATGCCTTCTAGAATACAGAATTCGAGAATACGATTGGCAAGGTCTTGTCCTTTCTGTATCGTGATTTTAACGTTTTCCGGGTCTGATTAATGACCCTCTTAGCTACTTAGAATGTTGCGATGTATATATGTAAAACTTTTCGTTTTTATACTGCGTATACGATTGTTTGCTCTGTACAAGATGCTGCGGTGCATATTTTTTTCGGTTATGATTATGGCAAGTACTTTGTCTATTTTCAGTTCCTTTTTACAATACCATAAGGAACTCTTACTCGCTAATTATTAACTTTTTTGTGATCAATTTTTTAAAACTATTTTATATCTTGATAATTTAAAAATCTATTCTTTATTTTTTTTTATTTTACAGGTGTCAATGGGCTCATTGAATCCGGGTCATTTCTCCCCAGTACCTGCTCCGCCTAGGTCATTTCCGCCCAAGTCATTTCTCTCCTGGGTCATTTCCCTCCATTACCCAGGTCATTTCTCTCCACAACCTAGGTCATTTCACTCCAACGCAAAAATTATAATGTAATAAGTTTAATTTTAATTAGTTTTATTAATTTCCATCGTTATTGAATTTAACGCTAACTTTATTTATTTTATTTTATCTTATATATTCATTTATTAATTCACACATGTATGTTTTATTTATTTATAAGTTCACACATTTATTGTTTATTTTATTCATAATTTTAATATTTATGAATTCACTCATTTATTTGTAAATTTATTTTTTTTTTAGAATTCTTTCGTGGTTTAATTCATTCCTTTATTTGTTAATTTTTTAAATTAATTAATTTATACAATCTTGAACTAGCTTTTTAAAAGGGCCGAGGCATATGATTATTTATTTTCATTCATTCATTCTAAGACTTGTTTTCTTTCTTTTTAATGGAATTAGCTGCAGAACTGTAGCTCTCCGAAAAAATATATAGAGACAGTCCGGCCTGTCCAAGAAAAAAAAATTCGGAGAGCTACAGTTATGCAGCTATAATGGAATATAAAATAACTTTAAATGCGATAACAGAAATATTTTATTTTAATCTTCTTTCTTTAACAGTTAAATTCATTATCAAGTAGACTTCAAGTGAATTTGTTTATTGTCCTGTCATCTGTCGTTTATGGTCTTTATCAGGAATAAATATATGATTGTTAGAATTCGTAATTGTTGTCTTGCGGTTTTATGGTACCCTACAAGGTGTTTTTTTTATCATCATGCTGGTGCATATGCTTATCCGTAAATTGTCGATTTCACAGATTGACAACACAATATCTCCTTTAGTGTTTAGACAAAATATGTCAACTTGTACAAAGATGTGTTCAGCCAGATTATTATATAAATAAGAATTTTCCCCCCACTTTTTATTACATTAGAATAAAAATCTAATATACATGGACTGTAATACTTCCTAGCGATCAAAATTTTTAGGCAAGATGACGAATCCTACGTGTGTGCATTGTCACAGTCAAGTAAGTTTTAACTAACTTTTTAGACTTCATTTTTTTTTCAAATATTAAGACATGCTTTCTATGTACAACAGTGGAACCTCCCTCCCCCCACCCCCCCACCCCCACTTACAAGTTTATTCTTAGAACACAAAATCAATGTGCTGATGCATGGATTTTAAATTTAAAATGTCCCGATTGTTACAAACATTTTTCTGCATTATATTCTGTATGTGCATACATGTAATAGACTTCTCATGAATGACTCCTTAATAATAAAACGTAAGTATTGAACAGTCTAAAGATCTAGCTCACATAAGAGTCATATGTCTTTGCTCTTTCAAAAAGCTAGTTCAAATTTGTGTTATAATTGGAAAATTTTTGTTTGTACTTAAAATTTACGATCTCTGGTATAACAGTGGTATAACAGTGAAAACTGAACGCCATGGATAAATTGCGTATAAAAATGAGATAATTTTTTGTATTGAATCCAAGAATATGTAAAGTTTTAGGGACAGTAAATTATTTGACATACATGTATACTGAGAGCATCAAGATTACTACAATTCCTAAACAACATTTTATACAGTCCTAATAATGTATTCTTTCGTAATTTCGTAAATTACAGATTATTCGCAGATTACATTATATTGAAAAAGGAGGAGGGATTTAAATAATTTTTTTTACAGAGATTCATACATGTAAGGATCGTTTAAATGGCGTAATATACTAGTATTTTAAACATCTTAAAAATTGCAAGCCATTCCCGGCGAAGTTGTGGAGGTGTCTATTGCCACATCGAAATCTTGTAATTCATTTTTTAAAGAGATATTTCTTCCGTTGTTACATTCCCATTAATTCATGTGATTTGGCTACTTTGTACATATGGTATACCTGGTAAATACCTCGGTATTGCATTTTAGGTTTTTTTATAATATTGATAGCATTTTTACGTCTTTGTTTTCTTCGCGTTTTTATTGTTTATAGTTTTATAAATGTACAAATATTCAAAATAATTATTGGTAAATATTTGCATACTTTTACTTGTGTATCTGGTTTCATAATATATATTTTGAAGTAACCTTTGTTTTCTAAAAATTATATTTATATTTTTAGCTGCAGAACTGTAGCTCTCTAATAAGAAATGTATCGACAGACCTACAGTTCTGCTGCTTTTATTTTATGTCATGTCTATTTTCTCCCCTTTTCCTCCTAAGATCTAAAGTGACATAATATAATTTAAAACTGTTTTATTTTTCATTCCCACGTATTTGTATCGTCAAACATTATAAATCAATCAATAAAAGCAAATTTTTATGTATTATTTTTCTAATTTTCGAGTTTGATCATCATCAATATAATATTCAGTTTATAGACAAAATTTCATCATCGGCTAGGGTAAAAATTGTTATTTTAACAAATTTCAAAATTATTACCCTTAACAAGAAGGCATCCACAATTCAATTCAATTCAATTCAATTTATTCTCTCAAAACCATGTAAATGGTACATGAGGTAAAAAAACATATAAAACATATATACATATAATACAAGATTTGCCCAATATTTTATCATTCTTGAGTAAATATTTATGTGTAATGGAAACCTACCAGTTTCTCCATAAATCACATAACTCGAAGTGCTACTTTTCAAATTCAGTATATGTTTTAAATAACGTAAATGTACTCGTTCAATAATATCGATATTTTCATACCCCATATTTCACAGCCATATAACAATACTGGTAAAACTACTTTATCAAACAAATCCAATTGACATTCGAAGGGGAGATTAAACTGCCTAATTTTACGTATCACACCATACATTGCCTTTTGTGCTTGTTCACATAGGTGTTTTCTTGCTTTACATAATGAGCCTGTACGAGAAAATACAATCCCTAAATAATTAAAATCCTTAACTACTTCTATGATACTGCCATTATATGTAAAAATATTCTTTGGCTGTCTGCCCTTTGAAAAAATAAGTATCTTTGTTTTCTTGATATTCACACATAATTTCCATTCTTCACAATATTTGTAAAATTCATTTAATGCTCTCTGAAGATCTTCAGCAGTTTCGGCAAGAATTACAGTATCATCGGAATAAAATAAGATAAACAGTTTCATATACAAAAACAACTCATCCTGTATACCTTTGCTAATACTAGACAAACCAACAATATTCTTTTTTGTCAAAAAATCTTCCAAGTCATTAATATATAATGAGAATAAGAAAGGCGATAAGTTTTCACCTTGTCGTACACCAACATTACAATTAAAAAATTCAGATGACAGACCATTCATTTGTATTTTAGATTTTATACCACTATACATATTTTTAATAAAAGTAAAACATTTACCATTGACCCCACTTCTAAGAAGTTTGCACCAAAGTCCCTCACGCCAGACTGTATCAAACGCTTGTTTAAAGTCTATAAACGCACAAAACAATTTTCTCTTGCTGTTAATCAATGTCTGGGATAAAAATTGTAATAATAGGATATTGTCTAAAGTAGAGTAACCTTTTCTGAACCCAGTCTGACTTTCTTTAATAAGCATAACTTCTTCTGCATAATTTTCTAAACGGCTACCAAATATTCTTGTAAAAAGTTTACCTAAACAGCTTAGAAGGGTAATCGGGCGGTAATTTTCAGGATGCGTTGGGTCACCCTTATTTTTGTAGATTGGTTTCAGGATACCAATTAACCAGTTTTCTGGTACGATACCAGTTTCAAAAATAAGATTGAAAAAAGTTTATAAATTGGCAAAAATAATGGCAAAGTTGTTCTTATGTGCTCATTTAAAATATTATCGAAGCCCGGGGTCTTACTGTTCTTTAAATCATTGACAGCTGATGAAATTTCCTCCCTGGTAATTGGATAATCTAACAGCTCACTATTATTGTAATTATCTACATGTAAATAGTTAGGCCAATTAACCTCAGTACATTCAGTATTGCTAGTTTCATTCATTTCTCTAAAATAATTAAACATCGAGTCTAAATCCGCAGAGCCTTGTTCTGATCTTTTAGTACTGTTAAGAATGTTCCAATATTCTTTTGTATTTGTTGTACGTAATTTCATAAGTTTCTGCGATAAGTCTTTTCTGTACTGTTTTATTGAGTTATCCATTACCTTTTTGCAATATTTACTTGCTTTCTTCAGACTTTCTTTATTTTCAATCGTTTTATTTGCGTTATTTATGCGCTTCGCTAAATGAAATTTTCTCCTTGCTGTTTTACAGTTACCGTTAAACCATGGTTTATCTTTTTTCTTTACATTACAAGTTCGAAAACTTTTCCTTCCGAATGATTTCTCAGCAGCATTGAAAAATGTATCACACATTCTTGAAATTACATTGTTGACACTTTCATTAGTAACATTATTTGAGGTTCTTAAATCTAATAGTTCTTGTTCGATACTTTTTAAAATAGACTTGTCGATGTTTTCACGGAAATCGTCTGCTTTGTCATTCGACCAGAGCGTTACACGTGATTGGTTATTTACAGGTGTGTTACTAACGGTAGATATAATTTGCTCAATAACAATGCTAAATGAAACAGGGCTATATACGTCTGAAAACATTTCACAAAATTCTAGGATGTCAAAGTTTCTTAACAGTTTGAACATTTCCATACTTGCTAGAACATAATCGACTGTGCTAGTATTTTTACAAGTGAGTGCTCCTACATCTCTATCGCTACCTACGCGACCATTGACAATATACACATTATTATTTATACAAAAATCTATCATCTTATAACCGAAGTTATTATTTGAAAAATCTTTTACAGTCCTGTCAAGAGGAATGTTTACATTATCAAAAAACGTTTCAATATCGTTATTATCAACGCCAGAATTACATTGTTTAACATTTGTTAAAAATTCATCTGTTATAATAAAGTCATTCAATTTGCCCACTCTGGAATTAAAATCCCCCAGCAAACAAACATGTTTACAATCTTTGGATATAGACATGAGCTCTTGTTCTATTTCAGTAAAACAATCTGGGGATGAATACTTGCTATTTTCTGGAGGGATATATACAATACCAAAATAAATGTCCTCCTCCAGATGAAATAGCGATCTATTACATTTGAACCATAATACATATTTACAATCTGTATTGATTATTTTGATATATTTGACAATGGAATATCTAATTAATAAAGCAATGCCACCTGATTTTACTCTAGATAATTTACATCTGTTTTTTAAATTATATCATATGAAGAAATAAGATCATTAAATTCCGTATACTGAAGTCTTCTATTTACACCACAAACATTTAATGATAAAAGCTTTATTTCATTATTTTCTGTCATCAATATAATATTCAGTTTATAGACAAAATTTCATCATCGGCTAGGGTAAAAATTGTTATTTTAACAAATTTCAAAATTATTACCCTTAACAAGAAGGCATCCACGTGGCAAGGGCTGGACAACGGTATCAATTTATTGTTATTAATATTAGATATTTAATTTTTCACATGTAGATAAAATTCCGAAACACTTTCTCTCGTTCGATTTTTATTGGTCATAAATAGATAAAATTAATTTATTTTACAAGATAAAAGTTAATAGCACAAGAATGAAATTGTAAATAATTATATAAGACCAGATTAAAATGGGGTGAAATGACCCAGGTAGGAGAGAGAAATGACCTACCGTGAAATGACCTACCGTGAAATGGTAGGAGAGAGAAATAACCTGGGAGAGAAAAAGTTTTAGAGAGAAATGACCTGACACCAACGGGCTGTGAAAGTAAGTATTTGCAGTAGTAATGCAGCAGTATTAGGAGCGTATATATATTCTTGACATTTTTTTCAAAAGACATCATAAAATGTAACAAATTCTAATTTTGTTATGAATTTTAATTCAGGTTTACAATGCACTAACAGTCCCGTGGATCTAGTGTTCCTCATTGATTCCTCTTCCAGCATTTTTCCGAACGATTTTACACGTCAGCTGGAATTTTTGGAAAACATAACAGGAGAAATGGACATCGGTCAGCATTTTAACCAATCCAGAGTTGCGGTAATCTCTTTCAGTGATGAACCGCGATTGGAATTTACATTAAGCAATTGCACCGAGAAAAAAGACGTACTGGAGGCCATCAGAAGAATTAGCTACATGTCTGGCGGAACCAACACCGCATCTGCCATCCACCTGGCTGTGAACGAGGTGTTTAAATCAAAAACTGGTGCTAGAAAAGGAGTAAAGAATATAATTGTTGTTATTACTGATGGAGAAAGCTTTTCGGAGTCTGAAACAAAAAAATCGGCTTCGCAGGCAAGACATATGGGAATCAATCTGTTTGCAATAGGAGTTGGAACCAGTGTGAATGTGAAAGAGTTACGTCTAATTGCTGGAAGTTCCGAACACGTCTACCAAGTGTCGAATTACGAAGATCTTAAAAGTATCAAGGATGCCTTGATCAATAAGACTTGCATAGGTCTGTTGAGTCTTTAATATGATAATTTATAACAAATTTAGTAATAAAAATGGGTCTTTCGCATATATGCAGTATGACTGACGTCAGCCGCTGATACGGATCCGACAGGGCTGTTACAGATCTACAGGGATGATACGTATTTTTATCACACCCTTTGTAGATTTAACAGTTCTTTTTAATGTATAAAATAATATATAATAAATACACATTTTATTATTCTTTTATTTATTTCTAGTTTCTGACGTAAATGTGTGGTGCGTGCTATAACTTAGTATTTACAATGTAACAAACAAAACATTCCCTTTCCTACATCAAATCCCATATTAGCCCTCGACCAATATCAGCCTTTGTGCCTTCAACTCTCTGGTTGATACTGGTGTGATTGACTGATATAGGATTTGATGTGTAGAAGGGTATGTATTACTCTCTATGTACCTTTATGATGTTTATTTTGTACATACATATGTACCAGTCATAGTATATCAACGCATGTAATGCTGTATGCTTTTGTACATCATCTTTAGAAATTCATCAATCAGCATACACCACGAATTTAGAAGAAAACACGCCATTGGATGATACCGTGGACATGAAAAGTAAGTGATCTTTATAGAGCAGGTCCAAAGACCATAAATTGAGAACAGACTGGAGTCAATATTTTGATTTTCAATATCTTGAGTTTTATTTAATGAATTTGCATAAAAAATTTATGCTTAGCATTATATTTCAAACATGTCACGAAAAAAAAAATTGTTTCATTTTTACATTTTTTCAGAAGTTATATTGATTTGAAATATTGACCTAAGTCTTTTTTTCAGTGTATGGTCTTGGGGCCAGGTCTTCCAAGTGATCTCAAAATTGCCTACTTAGATTTGTTGGCCCTTGATATTATACTTCCCCTTTAAAATGTTTATTTATTTCACTATAAAACATTATTTATTAACTCTTCATCAAATTTTCCGTGTCTTTAGAAATTCATCAGTCAACAAACACCACAGATTTAGAAAAAGATAAAACGTTGAATTGGACCGTGGACTTTGAAAGTGAGTAGTTTTTGAAGAGCATGTCTACCACCTGTCTAACTTAGGAGATCATTTAAATATGAGAGACAACTTGATCAAAAGGACCTTAGTTTGTTTTTTTCTTTTAATATAATATTGTCCTTTTCCAGTATTCTATTTATGCTACAACAAAATACGGTGTTTTTATTCATGAAATGATCTACCTCTGTGTGATTTGTGTAATTTATGAAATTTTCCTTGTTTTTAGAAATTCATCAATCAAAAAACAACACAGATTTAGAAAAAGATAAAGCGTTGATTGGGACCTTAAACTTTGAAAGTGAGTAGTTTTTGAAGAGCATGTCTACTATCTAACTTAGGAGATCATTTAAGTATGAGACAACTTGATCAAAAGGACCTTATTTTTTTTCTTTTAATATAACACTGTCCCTTTCTAGTATTTATTCTATTTATGCTACAACAAAATACGATGTTTTTATTCATGAAATGGTCTACATTTGTGTGCATCAATCCATAGAAATACATCAAACAACAAATACTTCGAGCATAGAAGACACGCCACAGAATGAGACTGTGGATTTTGAAAGTAAGTGATTTTCAAAAAGCTCGTCTTCAAAATAAGTATCTAACTTTTGAGATCATTTAGTACAAATGTCCTTTACAAAAACAATAGATTTTGTCAATTTAAATTTGTTTTGACAATTGTCAGAATCAAACTTAATTTGATAAAAATCTAATTTTTGTAGAAGACACTATTATAAGGACACATTGATCAAAAGGACTTGTATAGTTCTGTATGAAATTTGATATCAAAATTCACCTATCTGATTTTGAATTTTTATACATAACTGTAAATATAATAGACCAACTCTTTGTTAAATGTTGTATTTTTGTACATCTGTCTTTAGAAATTCATCAGTCAACAACTACCCAGATTTTACAAGAAGACACTCCAATAAATAAAACAGTGGAGATAGAATGTAAGTATTTTAGAAAAAAAATATTTTCTTCTCAAGGAATCGCTTTAAATCCAAGTCAAATTTACAGAAAGTATTTATTAATTGTTTTTATTATCACGAGTATTATGTACAATATATAACTGAACGTTTAACAAGGCAAGTTTCATGGTTTAGAAACTTTTAGATTGTAGTGGAAAGCCAGCTGATGTTCTTTTCCTGCTAGATTCTTCCAGCAGCATATCTCGCAATGATTTCAAAAAGCAACTTAGTTTCATCAAATCGGTTGTAAATGTATTTGACATTAATCCACAAAAAACTGCGGTAGGAGTATCCACTTTTAGTGATGATTTTCGGTCTGTTATCCATCTCAATGAATTCACGTCAAAGGAGAGTATTTTCAAGGCTGTCGACAAAGTTCCTTATCTCAGAGGCGGGACAGACACAGGGAATGCCCTTAAGAACATAATAGACTTTGATTTTAAATTCGCTCGTCCAAATGTTGCCCACATCCTTATTATTATAACTGATGGTTTATCACGTGACCCTTTTGAGACTTTTCTACAAGCGAGCAAACTTAAGAAAACCGGAGTTTCTATTTTTGCGATAGGTGTGGGGCCTTTTGTGGATCAGAAAGAACTAAAAACTATGGCAAGCCCTCCAAAAGAAGGCCTTGATTTTGTATTCAACTTCTCAACGTATGATGCGTTACATTCTATTAAGAATCTACTTGCCATCAAAACATGTGTCATTGCTGGACTGCATATGAAAGACCGTCGTAAGTATCCAGTATTTTGAGAGGAAGAATAATTTATTTGATAAAATTCATGGGTAATGTATTATTGTTAAATTCGATACTCAATCTAATGACGATCACCAGTAAGGTTAATAATAAAGGAAATTGAAAAATGGATTAATTTTACTTTCAGCAATTTGCATTTTGAACAAACCCGTTGACATTGTCTTCACCTTTAATGCTGCTACAATTGGAAATCGTGGCACTCGAAGTATTTTGAAAACAGTCCAAAACTTTGAAAAATTGAGATTTCAAAATGAATCAGACATGCGTGTTGGCGTCATTTCTCAATCATGTGCTTATGGGGGTGACCTTCCATTACAGACCCCAAACAAAAATTTAGCAGTAACATTTGATAAGATGTCTTTCCTCATTAAAAGAACGAAAAGCTATGGATTGACCGAGGAGAATGGTGCCAGAAGCGAGGCAGTCCACATTGTTGTTCTAATTGTTGACACACTTCTGACAATGGAGGACGAGATAGAGATTCTGGAGTTAGAGGCTATTGTAAATAAAATGTATATTGCCTACGTGGGCAACATTCACAATAAAAATTCCATTCTCAGTGTTTCCTCGGCTTCTGTGACAACTCTTTCATTGGTTGACTTCACGGCTATAGAGAGCCTATCGGGATATCTTCAAGAGGAAATATGTCAAATGGTTCAGATTAATTAAAAAAGAAGCAAGAAACAGATCAAAACTAGTAAAAAAAGGTATAAATTAAAAGACATCAAATGAAAATCAAACAATCAAGCAATACTTTTTTTAATTGTTAGTACTTTATTTTCTTCTGAAAAATACATTCACATATAATATGTTTTATATAAATGAATAAAAAGAAATAAAACGATTTCCTAAAGGTTGTGTTCTTTTGTCTTTTTGGGAAAAAAATTCAAGAATAAAGAAGCCAAATCCTAAAATTCAATTAGGGGGGGGTGTAAATTTAGAGGAAATATGAATGACAAATACTTGTACGTTTATACTGATTGATACAAGATTCAAATCTTAAGACAAAGTAAGTAAAATAAATCTTATACATGTGTATATATCTAGACGTGAAAGCATTTACGAGAATTTATAAATACAATATAAAGAAATCTTGTAAACCATATCAGACCCGTAGTAATTGCATAATTGAATATATTTTAGACACTTATTATTGTCCGTTCATGCTACTTAAGATAGAATCGTGGACTGCTCTAGAAATTTAAAATTCAATGTTGTAGTAAAAATTCTATGGAACATAATGATTACATATCAGAGAAAAAAAAAAAAAAAATACATATACAATAAAATTGATTTTGAGATTGGTCTAAATGTAGTGGATGATAGCATGAAAACTAGGTATTATAAAATTTACTAAATTGGGTTTTGGTTTACAATAATGAATGAGATACTGAATACTTGTTAACGAATAATACAGGGTTTTGAGCCATTGAATTATTTTTAAACATTTTGTATCGAACTTTTAAATTACACTTTATTTTTTATTATTTGTACAAGTCAAACAAAAATAGGTCAATATAAACAAATGTCTCTCTTACAAATCCAATAAAGATATTTGATAAAAACAACAGTAAAATGAAACGTTAGATGGTAATTGTAATACGTCTGTACTCAAGTAGCTAGGAATATAATGAAGAAAAGGTTTAGTTATTCAAGCTAAGCACAAATGATCTCTTTATGGCTGTGCAAAGTTTATCGAGAATTCTACTGAAAGATGTGCTCAGATCGGAGTATTGGGGAACCCGTACAAGAAAATTAAAGTTGGGATCGGACGCCAGATCTGCTGCAAATGCTGTGTTTTGTCGGTCGCCGATGGCGATGACCATAAGTTCAAAATTGTTATTTCTCTTCATAAATTCTATAGCTTCTCTCTCCCCAGTCGTACTTTCATCCACAATAAGCACACCAATTCTCTTCACATTTGAACTGATTGGAAAACTCTTATTCATCGACTGTAATAACTGCCCTATACCGGGAAATTTGAGCTCTGTGAACAGTTTAGTATCACGTCCTAGCGGTACGTTACTGTATCGTGGACAATTGTCAGTGATGCGACCAACGTTTACTTTACCAGTCGACAAATCGAGACTGGACACAAGCGTGTGGATAAATCGGCCAATAACTTCACTTTTCCTGAATCCAAGACTAGAAACGTCGTACGCAAACAGGACATCTGTTTCTTTGTCTCCACTACATGCTAAAAAGAGGTTGAATACTTCAATATGTACTTGAAAAAAGTTAATTGGCTTTTTAAACCTGGCCTATTTATATAAGGAAGAAACTCAGAAGGACCTAATTATTGTTTTATCGAGTAGGTGTTATGTCATTGTTCGTGTTCTTCCGTTAAATCAAGAGCCACTTATTCCTTTCTCATTTTTTGAAAGATAATATTTCTGTGAAATGTAATGAAGTAATTTCCAATGGCAATAAAAAAAATCTTCCTTCCTCCCTTTTCCGAAATATAATGTTTTAACCTTGAATTATCTTTGTATAAAACTAACGATATTGCCTTATTCTCTGAAGAAATATGTCTCAAATTTCAAGAGGACTTCTTAAAGATTATAATCACAATGATAAAATAAGGTCAAACATTTAACAAAAAATGAAATAGTAAGTGTTTATATCCTTTATACTTACTTTGAAGATTTTGTGGAACGTCTGGTATAACAGCACATGTAGAGAGTACCAATAAATCTTTAATTGCATGAAGACCATTAAAGTCACTGACGTGGAAGACGTGCTTGCTGTTAGGGTCATTTGCTATTCTCTTCAACTCTGTCTTGTCAACTTTGTCCCCAATTCCAATTGCAAAGATGGTTATGTTTTCATTTCTTGCAAGTTCAGATTGCTCCATAGTTTTTTGAGGTAATCTTGAAATGCCATCAGTCATGACAATAGCAATTTTGATAGCACCAGGACGAGTCACCCCTTCTCGGAAGCCGTACTGGCGGACGAATCTGATGGCTTCATTTGTGTTGGTCACCCCTTTGCTATATGTCACGCCACTAATCTGTCTCTTGAGCTCCTCCCGTGTTCGTTTTGAATCCAGAGCAACAACATTTCGTGTTCTGTTGCTAAACACCACAACTCCTGCCCTGATCCTTCCATGGACGTTGTCAATCTTCAAATCATCTATCATTGCGTTGACAAAATTTAGTTCTTTATCAAAGTCCACTTTCCAAATGCTACTAGAAGCATCTAGAACAAAATAGATATCAGCCTCCTTTTTTCCACAATCTGTAAAAAACAAAACAAATACCAGGTACATTTTACAAAATTATTTTCTCCATAGTTACAAAAAAGGATTAATGCCATGCTCCTTTGTCAATTTAAAGCATATTCAGACAAAGATTATGAAAAGTTGGCATCTTTGCAAGGTTTATCTTTGAGATGTCCGCGTGGATGTACTTCAACAATCAAAAAGCTGTTTTGTTTCTGTGTTTTAGTTGTTTTGTATGCTCAATTGATTTTTCCCTTGTTATTTGTTTTATTCTATTTTGTTTTCCTTGAATCAGTTTTGTTTATTGGGTCTTAATGTTTCTTGTTTAAAAATATGTCTCTAATACATATTACATAATTTGGAAAATATTTTTGATATTTTATTTTAGTTTCGTATAGCGACGTCTGTAACATTTTGGTGATAGGCAAAAGCTTACTTTAGGAGCATGACTATATTTAAATATTGTTCACATTTGATTTCCTAAAATTTATATCAGTTGTTACATAACTTTTCAATCAACCTTATTTAATGATTATTTATGTATTTAATACAATTTATAAATTATAAAGTGGAAAAAGCAGAATGCTTTATTCGGCTGCTATTTACAACGGATGTTACGATTTAATCAGCTTTATTCTTTGTGTTATCTGCAGGGAAGCCATTGACTACATGTATCTTTATTGTAAGTAGTCTAAGGTGCCCTTGTTCTTTCCGTAAACAAAACACTTAAAATTTGGAACAAACTTTAACTTCCTTGTTTTATCATCTTCAAATCATCTTTAAAGGGAAGAAATAACTTTTACGAGGAAAGCAGCATGCTTATTTAAAAAAAAAATCTTTCTTTATGAGCATCTTGGGATAAATATTTTAGAAAAGAATCCTAAAATGTATAAAGAAAAAATAAAAGACTAGAAACATCGGGGATAACTCCAATTATAATAAAATAGTCTCTTCTACGCCTTGACAAATGATATTAATACACTGTCTTAAGACACGTGGGTGGTGAAAACGTAATTGATAATTAAGTTAAAGTGGTCCACTTACAGTCAGCGGGCTTGTCGCTTAAGAACTTGTGGTAATGATTGGTGTTAGGTTGATCGTGATACTGGTAATAGTGCGACTTGTAGAACGCCTCTGGCACCGACACGTCCTTGGATGCTATAGCTGTGGAAGGTGGAGGTGTTGTGGTAGTTGTTGTTGTTGTTGTTGTGGTGGTGGTGGTAGTGGTCACTTTAATGAAAAATTGTAACATTAACAAAACTGACTTTTAAATGGCATTGACTTCTTCTTGATTTTTTAATTAAACTTAAATTACTCTTGATAATGCAAAAGATTCATCATTTTCCCCCTATTATTTAGAATTGCTTTGTTAACATTATGAATACAATCCTTGATGTTAATATAGATCACTGAATTTTAAAAAAGCTATATATTTATTAACATGTACCACAATTCTAAAGAAATCAGATCTCCAATGGGGCATATTCAACCAAAGCCAAGAAACATATGAATGTTAAAACATCTCAACTATTTGTAAAGCGTACCTTCGCATGCATTCGATGGCAATCTGTCTTTAATGCCACCAAGTTCCGAGTAGGATGATACTGTGAAGACATGTTGTCCAATTGGTTCACTCCCAATACCTTCTAGTTCATGAAGATCAAGGTATTTACCAACACCTATGGCAAATATTTTAATACCCTTTTCTCTGGCAATTTTTGCAGCCTCTAGGGTGGATTCCCTATTCTGTGACCTTCCATCAGTGATGATGATTGCAACATGATTAGCGTTCGGTCGTCCTCCGTACCTTTCATTAAACATATAGCCATATAAAAACTTAAGTGCGGAAGCAGTATTCGTGCGGTAGCCATTTTTGTGCCTGATGTACCGAAGAGCAGTTTTCACCCTTCTTTTGTCAAGATATGACCGCAGATAAAATTGGGGCCAGAACGTTTGTGCAAAAGTTATTGCACCCACTCTTGTGTCATGTATGTCCGGTCCAATTTTAAATTCGTCGACAATGTTTTCGACGAAAGCCATTTGTTTTTTGAAGTCTGGTCCCCAGATACTTCTAGAGGTATCCAGAAGGAAGACAAGATCGATGCCCTTACAAGGGGCTTGTCCATTTTCTAAAACTATGTTAAAACGAAAGATTACAAAAATAATAACGTACAAGCAACCGTTTCTGGATATTTTAAATAGTCATATTTGATTCGTTACTTGTTAGCTGTGTTTTCTTGAGGACTACGCATGGTCATATTTCAATTGCTTGAATTTGTATTTTTTTTTTCTAAATAATTGGGATGAAAAATGTTACCTTCATTATTAATGTTCTTGCCAGACTGAAATAAAATAAAATAAGAATTATGAATTATCAAAAAAAAAAAAAAAATCAAATCATTTAAGGAAAAAAAAATATCGACACAAATAAAACTCACCACAAAGTTGATAAGTAACAAGGTTGTAAATATTTCACAGAATACCATGTCCATAAAAGGTTACTTGTATCACTGTAGGCAAACAAAAGTCTTGAATTGTCGAACATCGATGAATCTTTTTTTTATATAACCATGTGATCTCTAAGTACCACTCACGTCAAGGAAAAAGAGGTGGTTATATTTTTAATGCAAATGCACGTAATGTTTGAAAAACAGGCATGCAATTGTTACGACTGATTTGTGATTACGCCTTGATTTCTGTTATCAATTTTTAGCTTATGTTATACTACATTTCAAAGATGACTCCATATATTCTATTATCAAAATATCAAAATCCAGTATCCAGTCAGTTACCAGACCTTGGCATATCTTAGTATCATGAAATAAGACAATATGCCCAAGGTATGTCACCTGGACTTGAATTGAATAGCTCCTTATTTCCTTATTTGTATAATATTACAATTGAATTCATTTCGTGTATAAAAAAATCTAACCAATTATCAACTCCCATCTCAAACTCGACCTAACGGGCATCACTTGATTTCTGTCCTCAGACATAGGGCATCTTCCTTTTTTAAGGGGATTGGCAACGAGATAATCAGTAAAAAAATACCTTTCAAAAAAATCACTGACAATGAAACAATATTACACAAGCAAAAAAAAAAAGAAAAAAAAAAACAAAAAAAAAACGAAAGAAACAAAAAATAATAATCATAATAAAAAGGAGGGAAAATAGAAAGCAACACACAAAAAAACCCACAAAGGGACAGACCATATGAATAAAAGGCAAGGTCAGCATTGAAAAAATAACTAACTCTAAATGTGAAAGATAAGGAACAGTGATCGAACTTACTCTAAAAATCATGAAGGATACAAATATGTGAATGGGGAATAAAACACGGATCCCGGGAAATTCAAGAGGTGGAATCAGGAGCTTAAGAGGGACCCCATCTCCTGTCGACTGGATACACCCGCCCCGAGTCTTATTATATCTATTGATCAGGTAGACAGACTTATCCGTAGTAAATTCTTAAAGAAAAAGTTTTCAGAGATAGTATGAAACAAGTCAGCCAGAATAAGACCCTATGGTAAGTTATATTTGATAACAAGGTCATTATAAGGAGAATATACTTAATAAAATGTTGAATGGGAATGAGGCTGTAACATCAACTTATCAGTCAGTAGTCTGCCACGCTTTAAAAAAGTATCAAACACAGAAAAAGCTTTTGAGTAGCGAGCAAGTCAACTGAAGCTGAAGTCATTCTGTTTGTTTTGCAATTTAGTTTTTACATGGCCTTTGTTGTCTATAGTTAGTAAAATGTCTAAATATGAAACAGGTGTGACAGACACCTTGGTGATTTAAAAAAAAAATTTCAATTTCATTAGGATCTATTTAGTCAACGTACGAATAAAAAAACTATTGTGAATTGAAAAAAAAACCACATATGAATGTCGAATTAAAAGGCCAAATAAGTGTTTTCCTTTCCTCCCATAGAGGTTTTGCTCTACGCATGAAAAATTTTTTTCGGAATACTTTGTTGGAAAACTTGGTCTCTGAATACTACCGGTACATAAAAACCGTCAATGAGAAACTCCAGCACCTTTTAAATATCAACTTCAGAATATATGTGTATAATACAATCAGACTTCAGAGTAGTTTTTAGCGACGTAATTTTGCTGATGACTAATCACAAGATGTGAAAATGTCCCGCGTTCTTTTTTAATTTTTAATTAAGATGCGGTTGTCTAGGAAATCAAAATATCTAGATTTTAATTTTTATGTAATAGAATTTTAAAAAATATATAATACAGTTTGTAACAATACTTGAGAGATTCTGAGTATAAACATCTGATTAACACCACTTCTAGAATAAGCTGTAACACAGCGTAACAAATAAAAGGATGCATGAATTAAAATTTTACAATTTCTACGTTCGTGTCATAAGTTGTTTTAGTGTTTTTTTCCGTAAATATGCATTTGAAACTTGACATCTATTTTATTTGAAGATTGATTGATTGATTACAACTGTTGTTTAACGTCCCTCTCAAGAATTTTCCACACATGGAGACGCCACCACTTGCCGATGGAGGTCTACAAATTTTGTCCTATTCTCGGCACTCACGGCCATTGAAGAGTGAGGGATTTTTTGTGCCAAAACCTACTGCGATTTGGGACTCGGTTTACACGGTCTCATCCGAAGGACCGGTCCCACAGTGGGATTCGAACCCGCGACGTTAGGATTGACTCCTTACTCCGCGACTCTAGAGCAGACGTACGCTATTAACCACTGTGAAAATAAGAAACGATGATCGATCTCAAAAGAAAAATCTGAAGGACCAAAGTTTTACAAAACTAAAAAAACACACCTCAAGAACAGCGTTCTGATTGAAAATACTGATATGCAACCATTATCGAAAGTGCAAAAAATACAGTGGGTATTCAAGTAAGGGTCACTAACAGAGGTACAAGAATGAACATTGTGGTCTAATGGGTCCCTTGATAGAAATGTGTTAAATATTAAATAACTGATTTTTTTTACAGTAAGTCCCATTATATAGCAATGTCTTCTATGATATTGTAAAAAAAAAGGGGGGATGGGGGCAAACTTTGTTAATTATATGATCATGATGATTCAAAAATAAAACCAATCTTTCTTAATTGCTTACATTTGTTGACATCTTTGTCGTGTGCTTTAAGAGAAGTGGGATTAAAATAAATATAATCGATTGTATTGATGTGGAATTTCTTTTATTTATTTTGATCCGATCTAAAAACATAGTAAAAATGTTTACGTGAAAATTGAGTGCAGGTTTGTAACTATCGGAAGGTCATGCGCAGTTGAATATTATTTACCCAGTAGTTCCATTTCTTGAATGTTGAATCTCAGCCAATCAGAGTTAAAAATTATATAAGTATATAGTAAAAAATTTAAAGTCAGGTATTTATATAAAATTCAATCTCTGTAAATATTGAATGAAATTCATGAATAACTTTCCCTTTTCCATGTCAGGACTTAACTTCCAATCAATTTTGTAATTAAGCTGTAAAACAATTAAAATTGATGCTTAACAACTTTATTTTTATATTTATTTGATAAAAAAATCAATGATCTACATTCATAAAAACTCATATTTACTGAGGAAGTCAGGTTCTTTGTCCATGTTTGGTGTAGCTGTGCTTGGAAGTCAGGACTCTGCTGTAAACATAATGTAAACAAGAATGAAATTCATGAATAACTTTCCCTTTTCCATGTCAGGACTTAACTTCCAATCAATTTTGTAATTAAGCTGTAAAACAATTAAAATTGATGCTTAACAACTTTATTTTTATATTTATTTGATAAAAAAATCAATGATCTACAACGACAATCCTGCAATAAACTTGATCTCTTTATTGCCTAGTTTTGGAAGTCGATTGTTAATAATGTACCGTGTATATTTACTACATTGAAAACAATTTAAACAGGGAAATTTTCATTTAATATAAAACATTAATGATTAAAATGTGACTTTTTCAGATTCATTTTTCTGTGAAACCTGCAATCTTTGATGCGAACTCCTGAACGAATTTTGCTGTTAATTGCTCTGTAAGTTTCTGACAAGTTGTTTCCATTTCTTCAGCTGCTTGTTTAATCAAGTCTGCCTTTTCTTTTTCCTTTTCTTCTAGTTCCTTTTCGAGTTTTCCTCTTTCAGCTGCGAGTCTAGATATTTCTTTTTTATTTTCCTTATCTTTTTCCTTCAGTTCATTTATTTGGTTGTTTTTGATTTGAATGCGTGTCTTTAAATCTTTGATCGAAAGTTCCAAGCTCTTAACCTTCTCAACATGTTTTTTCTCTGTAGGAAACACGTACATATTATGAAGTAAAATGTAGGTAATATTTCTGAATGCATTTCAGTGCAATCTTATATCAAAATGTCTCCTACTGCGAATTGATAAGTGACATAATTATGTATTAAGCCAACTGCAATTACTTTCTTTTAGGGATGTCAACGAGTACCCGGTTAACCGGGTACTCGATCGAACGTCCGAGTATCGAATACTAAAATCGGTACTCGGTTACTCGGATGTATATTTTTGAATTTTTCCAAGCTTATTTATTAATGCATTAACCAATTTGTTTTAAAACGTTAAATGTTCATTGCACCTGTACATATAGTAATTAGGGTTTCCTACGCCTCTAAATGACCGTTATCGCCTGTGGCCGTGTTTATACAGTAATTATCATGACCAAGCACCTGTTACCTGGCTTTTCTCACCTCCAGCTGTCTTCTACCCTTATTTTTGGTTTGCTTAATTATTTGTTTTCACTGATCGTCGTTTAAGGTCTATTATGTTTAAACAGTTAGGTGATTTTGTCAATTCGCCGAGAAGCCGTAAATTCTCTGGAAAAGAGATAGATGATATTACGTGTGCACGTGCGATTGTTGATGACATGTGGTTGTGTTTGATTACATACCAATACAAATGGTTGATGGCAAAGGCTTTCAAAAAACCGATGTCCATCGTTGCACTAAACTACAAAATACCGTCCCTTAATACTATAAAATCTAGGATCGAAAAGTGTCTGAAAATCGTAAATCCGTTCTGTTAGGAGAACTTTATCAAGTTTAAGTTGATACTGTACGTAGCTCTGATACATGTTCACATCAAACGCAACAAAGAGTTACATTACAATTACGGAGCAGATTTAAAAAAAAAAAAAAAACACTGTGGACCACTTATGATTTTATTTCTTGTGTTTATCTGATAAATAAATACTAATGAAAATGTTATATTAAATTTCGTCGGGCGCGAACTGTTCATCATTGTTACAACAGAAATACATTTACGGGTAAACCTCCTATCAGAGCATGTGGCTTTATTTCTACAAAAGTTTACAATGTTTTACAGTCTTCAATTTAGTTCATATTTAGCTACACTTTACCGAGTACCCGAGTACTCGATCGGAAAAACGTCCGAGTAACCGAGTAATAAAAATTGACCGATTTGACATCCCTACTTTCTTTATAAAAATTTGAGATTTAAAGTTTGACATGTTGACACATTCTTTATCAAATGAAATAAGGTATTTTTTATGAAGTCTTTCATTACCTTCATCTTTCGGAATAATGCAGACAAAGTGCTGTTTGTTGATTAAACCAATTCTTATTGCTCTCTCCGTGGGCTTTGTGGGATAAAATATTACTTCCTCTTCTGACGGATAATATAAAACATTAACGTTTACAGAGAATGCGTCTGCTGTAAACATAATGTAAAACGGAAGCCAGGAAAATGCAGCTGGTTCATTTATGGTCATATCTTTCCATTCCATCGTTTTGGAAAACTCGCGCAGTATCTGGCAATAAAACATTAGAAATAAGAAATAAATATATTAACTGAATTGCATAAAAAATATTTTATTTTCATTTGACATACCTTCGTGTTCTTGGCATTAGCAATGGATATTTTTAGGGTTTCTTTAAGGGATTCCCAAGATGTTAATGTTTTATCCAAAGTCTTTCTTTCTACTTTTTCGATCTGTCTTTGTAACGCGGTATGAAGAGCAATGAATAACGAGTTTGGTCCACGTTGCTGTCTTGCAGTGTCCGACCTCCATCCATCTAGTATTTCCAGTGATAACTTACCCAGCCATTCTCTTGCAGGCCCATCGTCAAAGATTCCATCTTCCGGTTTGTATCCAATAAGAACTTGCAATCCATTTTTATTTTCTTGGAAGATAAAATGTTGAATATCTGTAATAAAGAAGGTAATTACAATGTAAATTGATAGCATAATTCCCTTGCATTTTACTTTTATACATGATTTTAAAATACTTACATTGCCTTCTTACGACATATAACCACGTCATAATTGTACTGCGGGCTTTCACATTTTTGACCATATTCTTCTTTATGCTACATAATGCATCCAGAGAATTTGTTATTGTTGATGGTCCCATCGGAATAAGATTTTCCTTATAAAGTGACATCCACAAGCCATGAATCTGTTGCTTATTTTCAAGTGGCGTGACTGTTGTCAGCTCATTGAACATTTTGTCGAGTGTTTGAGTGATTTGCGAGTATCTTATATTTGGTTTTCCCTCGGCCATTTTCAGAATCTCTTCCAACCACATATATTAATATTCTACCTGAAGTTTTTATTTCTTGTTTCCCTCTTATTTAAATATCAAGGCTAATAATACAATTTTGTTTCGATTCATAGAGTACCAAATAGACCACAAATAAAAGAAATAATAACGTCCCTGAAATCTGAATTTAAAAGTTTAAAACCCTTTAAAAGATTCAAGAGTTCATTCTAAATATGTGATATTACCATGTCATTTGACATTTGACATTTGTCTATGTGCGAAACACATATTCATGGTGGAAGATACCTTTCCATGCTATGAGATATCATCTGCTGACTAAAATCTATTTTCTGTAAAGATGAATAAAGGTATGTGTATTTATTTGTAATATATAGATATATGGCTGTGCACTGATTCTCTTGAATGAAAATCATTGCAAAAAGTTCTATTTACATTTACAAATATTTCTAAATTTCTTATGCATACGTAGAAAGAGCCAAGGATGAAGAATCTAAAATGATTATAGAGCTGCGTAGAATATTCTTACACGACGAACAAAAATGCTGTGATTCAAATGCTTTGAAGGAATTAAAAATTCGTCTTAGACACCATATACCACAGACGCTGCAAGGAAAAGGAGCAGAATTTCAGGAAATATTTGAATCATTAGTTCATGACGGAAAAATTACCTTAGGAAACTATGAGTTCTTGCACAATGCTTTAACGGAAATTGAACAGATAACAGCCGCAAACAAGATAAAAGATTATCAATTAAAGATACAACAAATATTATCTTTAAGTAAGTGATTTATATCATTTAAAAATTATACTTAATGACATATTTAACAATGTTTATTATTTCATGAAATGTAACAGGATGCTTACTCCACTCAGGCACATGATCCTTTCGCGGGTTCGTTTTTATGCCCTGTTTTCAATTCTGTTTTGTTTGGATTATTTGTAGATGGATCAGTGTTTGATCTCTTTTTCATATTAATTAGCCTCTTTACGATAGCTACGGTGCTTCTCTTTTTCAGGGCAAAATAATTAAGTTTGACGAAGTATTTGTTGATAGATAATTAAATGACGTATACTAAATAATTACTTTTACGTCATATTTCACCAAAATACATCATTTTGCCCTGCAAATGAGCAGTATCGCGGTTATCTTGAATGGGTCTATTCATATTATATATATATATATATATATATATATATATATATATATATATATATATATATATATATATATATATATATATATATATATGTATATGTGTGTGTGTGTGTGAGGGTGTGTGTGTGTGTGTGTGTATGCATTCATTACTGTGCTGTCGTGATGTAAGTCCTGGATATTGGTCTGGATAGCTTAGTCGGTAGAAAGTCTGATGACATGCAAATGTCCCATGCTAGGTTCACGTGGTCCAGTCATATATTTTCTCTTTTTCTGTTAAAGTGCAAATCCAGAGGGAGCATTGTGAGTGCACGTTTTGTCCGTCTATATCAATCTGCTCCTTATTTCTACATTAGTTGTAACCTTGAATAACAAAAAAAAAAAAATTAGCCAAATTCGATGTCAAATAAAAAACTTGATCCCAAGTTACTTTTTTGATCAAAGCAAAGCCATAGGAATCAGGGTTCTCATACGCTCCATCTTACACAAGTAAACGTGCGTTATGCTTTGTAAATTGAACAGTTTCTTCTTTTTTTAGATTCCAGTTGTGAAGAGGAATTGAAAATGATCTCAGGAAACGGGGAAAATTCTAGCATAAAAACTACAGAATTCAAATATCCATCGACTTCTTTAAATGAGAGAAGTTATTCTAGTGTTTCATCATCTTCATCAGGTTACTGTTTAGTGGAAAGTTATAGAGACGACTCCATCTCCTCGCCACCAACATCGGCGGAAAATTCGAACATATATAGAACGTATGAAATCGAAATTGCTTCAATACTGCGAAGAGGAAGTTGAACACCATTGTAGAACTTTTTAAGAAAAAATGGAGAAGAAATATGTCAGAAAAGAATCTGTAACGGAAGCACAAGTAGCAATAGATAAGAAACAGTCTTCGAATATGACTTTGTCAATGAATAAAGTGTTTAATGTCTTTGAATTTTTTTTTCATTTATTTTTATAAGGACTTAAGGTCTTTTTCAAAATTTTCAGTGGATGTTTTCAAAATACAGTTAGGGTGTTATTTTTATTTTATATGATAATATTTAGAAATTTCTACCGATTAACTAATAAGATCGTTTGATCGTTTTTTTTTTTTTTTGGTTTGGTTTTTTTTTTTTTTTTTTTTTTTTTGATATGAAAACTTCTTGAAATATTTTTCACAGAAATTCTTTGGAAAAACAACACAAGGGTATAAAAAGGAGTGTGTAATATCATATATTATGTATATATTGATCAGAAATCTGTATTACATTGTATATATATATATTTCTTTACTTCAATAGGCAAAATAAAATTAAGAAAACTAGCTATGAATCATATTTAAAATATCAGATATAATACAAATCAGGTCAAATGGCATGCAAGTTCTTTCTACATGCTTTTAATTATAATCAAAACTATGTCTGAACAATCACTGAATTTTTTTTAAAGTTTTTAATATTATATGATAGGTAACTGTAGAAGATTCCAATGTTTCACTGAGCGCTCATACAAGAAATTGATGTTTGACCGCGGAGTGAGATACTAGACCTGTCGCGGTCTAACATCGATTTCTTTTATAAACGATCGGTAAAACTACAGAATATTAAACTTTTCAAGCATAAAATTATATTGGAAAAATTTTGCAATGCATAATAATATTTTCTGTAACTTTTGACTACATGCAAATATGCTAACGACTTTGTCTCAATAAATATCTTACTGTTACAGTATACAAGTTAAACCTTTGAGTTGATTTTAATAGGCATTAATTTACACCCTATACCAAATTAATGCGTTATATTAGACATTGAAAATCACTTATTTTTGCCGTAATAAATACATTTATCTTTTTTAGTCCTAATAAAAACGTACACTTAAGTATAAGGGAATAGATTTTCTGACATTACATATTGTAAATTTCTTTATTTTTGAAATACTCATGCATTATTTTATTTATTAAAAATGAAGTATCCGTATTGGCGTGTGATCTGGTCCTAAATAGAACATACAGTTGGATCTGACAAAGGGTCACAAAACCGCGGAAATTTGTACAATCGAACTTATTGCAAATATAATGCATATAAAGAGAGTCTTAAGATACCCGAGTAATTGTCTACCAGTGGATTGAAAAGATTCTGTGGAAGTATGACCCTGTGGTAAAAGGTACGTCTACAGTATATTTAAACAACATTTAAAACATCATCACCGTCACTGCTTATTATGTTAAAAATCTCTACAAATGTAAGAGGAATTATAAATGATATACTAGTATTTTCCTTTTAATATCTAAACCTATCTTGAAATGATGTGTGTGAGAATGATTCCTTGTAAACCATGTCAGATCTACAAAATGTGTGAAGTTATTACAGATAAAATTTCTTAACATTATTTGAATTTGAGTATCCAAGCTCAAACATCCATAAAACAATAGACACTTATTGCAATACAACGAGGGGAACAGTCAAACTGTTGTCCCGAGGAAATGGGGAAGACCTGGGAAAATGGTGTCCGACTTGTCATGAAATAAGTGTTTTATTACCTAACCTACTATATAATTTCTTAAAGTAATGATATAGACACATCGACAAAAGTTTGCATTATTTCTTGTATTATCATGCACGCCCTAATAAATATTTATGTATACATGTGCTGTTTAGTAAAAAAAAAACATAAAATGACTTGAAGGTTTGAATATAACACGCTGAGTCGGACGTTTTAAAAGGCAAAGATCTAATGAGTGAAAGGGGTCTACAGTTTTCCAAAATTACCCTCAGAAAAGATGTCCTTGGCCTCTTCTTTCAAATGATATCAAATTGAATATATATTTTGTGGGTATTAGGTTTTCTCTTCAAATGATAATTTCAAATTGAAAGTCATGAAAATGCTTCAATTGATGCATAATTCAGTATTATATAGCTGTAAAGTACGAGAATTTAATTATATGACGTCATAATGGTTCAATTCAGCCATGCAAGAGGGAAACAGTCGATTTGTTGGTCCGGAGTGCAAGCTGTTGGCCGAGACCGTAGGTCTCTTTACTAGGGACTGTTTAGTAGAGGTATAACAATATACAGTTGTTGACTGGGGTAGAGGGAAACAGTCGGTCTGTTGGACCGGAGTGCAAGCTGCTGCCAACTGTATACGGTTGCATGGTATGCGAAAAACATAAAAATGAATCAGGAAACAGTTCAAAATGCCTAATTACAATTTATATAGTAGGTTAGATAATAAAACAAAATAGGAGCAGAGCAAACATAGACCTCCAAAACATCAGAAAGGGATTAAGTGAGCATCCCCTGCCGACCTGTCACACCCGCCGTGTGTTCCTTGTCATAATCGGAAAAATAAAGGGAAGAATACCCGTCGGCAATTCAGTGTGTAAATAATGGACTTACAAAGAGTATGAAAAACGTTATTCAGCATTTGACTCAATGATAAATTGCGTTTGATGACATGACCATTGTATCGACCAAAGAAACTTGTATGTCAATAATTCACCTCGCTTTAGAAATTGTACATACATAGAGTATGTACTTGAATACAATCAACTGGGAGATATAAACTCCTTATGCAGGTGATGAGGGTATATTGCTGCATAATTAAGGGAAGTTGACATTTGAAAAGTTAAAGTCATCACGTTTATCATTAAGCTTAGTTGTTAGATTACCATTAACGTCTCTTTCAAGTAAAATATCCAAACATGAAACAGATGTGTCAGACTCTGTGGTATCTTTGTCTCTCCTCAGTATATATCGTATCGACATCAGAATGGAAATAACCATTGTTAATTATCAATATATCGTCGATATACTAGTATCTAAACGTCGATTTGAAGGCCACAGCAAGGTTTTCTTCTTTTCACGCAAGATTTTGGACAAGTTCTGCTTCATATGAATACAAAAATAGGTCTGCTAATAACGGGGAGCAATTGGTCACCATAGGAATTCCAATCGATGTCAAATTCAGAGTACTTGAGTGTACAATCAGAATGTTTTTAATGGTTGTGTATAAAGTTGGCTTAAGAAAAGAAGGCTTATATTAAGTTTTTAACCTGTTAATTTTGGTAAAATCTTATGATTTCAAATTGTCCAAAGTTCCTTGGAATTTTTAAGTATCCACATCTGATTTACACTTCTTCTTGAATATATTGTTGCACAGTACTCTTGAAGTTTCTCCTTCGCTACTGTTTATATCTTAGGGAGGAGTAAATAAAGTGGCTTGGTTGAACATTTACCTGGAACCCGCTAGGTATCTTTGTTTGTAAGGATTATTATAAAGTTTCGGAATCCAATATAGAGATATAGAAATTCAAATCCATTTCGGTTGTTTGGGATATTAAATATATTCAAAAAACGACATATGATTATGAGATTTTTCAAAATTTTGGGGAACTATAAGTTGGATTACAACTTGTAGTTCCTTGGAATAAATCCAACGAATATATTGTTGCACTTACTCTTAAGTTTCTCCTTCACTACTTTTATATCTTAAAGAGGCTTGGTTGAACATTTTTAGGTATCTTTGTTTGTAAGGATTATTATAAAGTTTCGGAATCCAATATAGAGATATAGAAATTCAAATCCATTTCGGTTGTTTGGGATATTAAATATATTCAAAAACGACATATGATTATGAGAATTTCTTAGAAAGGGAACTATAAGTTGGATTACCACTTGTAGAATAAATCCAAGTTCTTTTAAAATACAATTTATAATCATGTGCCTTACAAACGAAGACAATGTCGTTAAAAGCTTTGTCAGCAGGGACCAGCACGTACTGATCATGTAATGTATTGTATTGAATTTAATTAATTTTTAAAAGAGGACATTTTATTATTTCTGTGTTATCATAATAATGAAATATCCTCTTTTTAATTTCGAATATAACATTTTGCGTAAATATTTTACATTCTTGCTTAATAAAATCAAGTGTCTACATAAAAAAAAATCGTGAAAAGAAGTCAAGAACTTTAGTTAACATGGGCAATAGCAATCACCCGATATTAACACTGTTATAGAACTACAAAAGTATGAATAGGGAAAACAAACTGATGAAGCTATGGGATAAATGGTCCACAAAGTATTTTTCATAAATTGAAGTCCAGATTTTCGACGTCATATACAGCTACCTTTTTCATAAATATGGAACTCGCATAACCGAGCGTTATCACTGGTCATTTGCTCAATTATTTAGTTAAAAGACATTCTGACCGTACACACAAGAACTCCAAAGTTGATATTAAAAGATGCTCGATTTTCTAATTGACAAAATAAATGTAGTTTTTAAAAAAACCAAGTCTTCAAATAATCTATTGGAATTCCAGATGGAGCAAATGTGCTTATTAAATGTTAGCAGGCCTATTTTTATATCAATTTCACCTATACAATTTTAATTTATTTAAAATCTTACACATGAAAAAAAAAATTGCTGTGGCCTTCAACCAGACATTTAGAAATATCGACAACGTATTATTGTTATAGCGATAACAAACAGTATTCAAGTTCAAAAGTCCATTAAACTTTACAAATTAGAAGCAGATCAAACATGCACGGACCTCTAAAATATCAGAGGTGGGATCAAGTACCATGGAGGAGTGTGTATCCCCCTGTCGACGGTCACATCAGCCTTTGCTCCCTGTCATGATCAGGAAATTACGGGAAAATCCGTCGACAATTCAGTTTGTTAATAATGGTATAACAATAAGAATGAGAAACGTTAGTCAGCATTTTACTTAATGATAGATTGCACGTATTTACTAACAAGGTCATCGTATCGAGCACAGAACTTACGAAATGATGACTTAAACGAGACTGATGATATATGTATTCTTGTTTCGTCAACTTGTTTGTTTATAATTTACCTTGTTTTGAATTGTTCATACGTATAGCATGCTCTTGTGTATCGAATGAGCTGGAAGATATCAAATCCATATGCAGGCGATAGGGGTATATTAATTTCTGCATATTAAGTAATGGAAGTTGACGATTGAAAAGTTAAAGTCATCACGTTTATCATAAAGTTTTGTTTCTAGATTACCATTTAAGTCTTCTCTAGTAAAACATACTAATATGAAACAGATGTATCAGACTCTGTGATATCTTTTATTTCAAGCTCACCAGGATAAATCGTGTCGACATAAAAATGGAAATAGCTGATAAACAAGGATAGAAACCGTCTCATTTGAAGTCATCATTTCGCAAAATCTATCAATGGTCGATACTTGTCAGCAAAATTAAGAAGAAAGCTGGGTAACATTTTTCATTCTAGCTGTAAGGTCATTATTTGTCTACGGAATTTTCCCGTTTTTCTTATCTACACGATGAACAGACATCGAGTGTGACCCGTCGAAATGTGATACTATATGTCCTTGTTTCCTCTACTCCCGTTTGTAACATTTCAATGGTCTTTTGAGACTGATCACTGTTCATTTTATCTACTGGACATGAGAAAGGACCATAAGAAAGTAACTTGTGTAAAGATTTTGGATGGGAAAATGATATTATGGCTGAAGAACTTGAAAAATAATTGACCAAGAATGTTTTCGGAAATCAGATACAAGAGATTATTGTGATGAAAAATGAAGATTTGATTGAAAGCCTTTAAAAAAAACAGGATAAAATGAAAGTTTAATGTAATATATTTTTCCACATTGCAAAAACATGAATATATTACTAAAAATTAAATCTCTAAAAGCCTTTTCGCAGTTAATACAAATCAATAACAATTTTAGAGCATGGTGTTCTAAAGAAGAATAGCTGAGCATAAGAAAAATACACTAAAATGAAAATTATTTTTGAAAAAATTGTCAGGCTAAGGTTTTCAGAGCTACCAGTATGTCTTTCTCTGGAAAAGTATACATGTCTTATTGGGTGTACATATATCTGCACTTTGCCACTTACTTTAGAATTTTATTACTGGTGTGGTTTTTCTTTTCTCCTTTGGGTCTGAACTTGATCAATGGGGTTTAATCAAGTACATGGCGGTTTCTGACCACTAGGAATAGGTGTGTTTCAAATTATGTAATCATGGAATTCACGTTGCAATAATTGCAAGATGCCACATTCAGATAATCACAGTTATATAATTTATTAAATATCTATTAACTGTTCATAAAAATAACAACATATAAATATTTTTTTTCAAAGAGGTAAATTTCAAGCAGATATCTGTTTGATCCATTCCTCTAAAGCAAACTTTGTACCAGTACTGACTCTCTCGTGATCTGTGTCTGTACCAGACACCCTTAACAGTGGTGCTAAAGGAATGTCTGTTTCAATTTGTTGGTTATCAAAAACATGGCCTCTGCAAAAGGAATAAATTTAAAATGGACTCAATGAAGACTTACTTTCTGCAAATATGATTTCGAATTCTCCTGTAATGTAAATGTACCTTATGAAGTCATGATTCCCCTGCTGTTTATTCCCTGAAGTTGACGCTTTTTCTTCATCAGCCTGTGTAATACAAGTTACCAGTTCTTTGTCAAACCAGGCACACGCGTCCGTCTCGGACGGGTCCAGTCGCAATTGTTTGTTCACTGTGTGGGAGTCTAAACCAGGTTTCAATTTCCCGTACAAGTAGACAACAATATGATGGCGTTTCGGTGGTCCTAGAGTCAACTTTGGCGGGTACACTGACTGTGCAAAAAAAAACCAATTATTTCTCAGTATAAAATAGGTCTTTGTTATTTTGAATTATGAGCAAACAAATGGTTACTACTTTTTAAATTTCTTTAAAAAATCTGACGCACCTCCCATAAAGCCAATACTTTGACATCCTCAGATGTAAAATTTTGAAGGGAAAGATTTATTCCTGTTTCTTCATAACATTCCCGTAATCCTGCCTGAATGAACTGCAAATAAGAAGTATATTTATATATAAATATCTGAAAAAAGTCTCTTGTAGCTAGAAAGACTTTTATTCAGAAATAACAGATATAAGAGGGGAGGAGGAATTTCCACAGATCCAACATTACCGTCTCATTTCCCTCCAAATGTCCACCTGCAAAGAACAAATATTTGAAAATCAAATTAAACAAGATCATATAAACTTGTATGTAAACAAGAACATGTAAAATTGTTTGGCGTTTAGATTTGAAAGTGACCAAGATTTTCTGGGAGCAATTTTTAATAATGGTTTCTTGGTTTATTTATTTCGATACATTGGTGTTTAAAGGAGACATATCTGTACCTTCAATCATGATTTGGATCACTTGTACATATTAAGTTCACTTTCTGTATGAATCATCAAGAATATTCAGGTCCATTTTCAACTTATTAGAAATTCTCCCAAGACTTGTCTTGCTTTAGATTAATTCAATCAATATTTCATTATGAAAAGTCAATGAAACATATGGAGATAACGAACATTATTCAAGATCAAAAGTCCATAAAACAATACAAAATATATAGGAGCAGAGCATCGAAACTCGGACCTCCAAAACATTGGAGGTGGGATCAGGTGCAATGGAGGAGTGAGCATCCCCTGCCGACCGGTCACACCCGCCGTGGGCTCCTTGTCATGATGAGGAAACAACGGAAAAAACATAATTGGATTGGACATCAGGAAAAGCCTATAATAGTCCTCAAAATGCTGTCGATATCCTTTCATGACTTATGGGGTAAAATGTCTAAACAAAGTCCATTTCCAGGTGTTTATAAGACTCAATAATAACCAAGGTGGTATAGATGTTTCATTTGTGTGTATACATATAATTAACCTATCACTTTTAGATTCTATATGTAACCTACATTTTATGGCTGAAATATCAGTCTCAGTGCCATGGGTGAAATAACAGCTTCATTGCCCATAATTCTGAAGAAATTATTATTCTTATAGCTATCTTATTACTTGGGGGTGGGTCAAATTTGAATTTGCACATGGATCTTTTCATTTACTGAGTGGTTCTAAAAGAATTTTTTTTTGATTTTGCCGAAAAAAAAAGAAATATATAAATTATAAGTATCGAAATCAATCGCTACTACTTTTCAGTTGATTGTTATTCTTACCAGGAGGGACCCAAACGCCGGGAAATGTACGGAGGGTTTTTGCTCGTCTGGTAAGAAGAACTTTTTCATCTGCAGATTCTAGTACAAGAGCTACTCCTGAATCTATTCCGCGCTTTACTGTGTCTTCTGGTAACTTGTCACTGGTATCTGATGTTAAATTTGTTACCGGACAAAAGGAAGGGCGCTAAAAAGAGAAATAGAAGGAGCTTTCAGAAAAGACAATTGACCCAGGATCAGAAAAGACAAGAGACCCAGGAGCCTGAAAGGTCACCTGATTTTAATAAAATACTATAAAGGGTCCATAGAAGAGTGAAATGAAACAAACTGATAGATGAAGCTACATACGTGTAGGGATGTACAAAATAAAAGAATAAAGCATCTTTACTTTAGATTCAACATACGTTTAGCACTGCCCAACACCGGTACCGGAACCCATTATCGTAGTCCGAAATATCTGACGTTTTCCAGGATTTTCGCGATTTTTATATTCACATGCCAGGAAGATGTCAGAACCGGTGCCATTGCGAAAACTGAAAATGATTTAAGGTAGGATTCTTCTCACACAAAACTGTATTTCTTGTATTTAAAAATTAATGATTTTTTTTACAGAATCAAGAAGACAATATCACTAAGTGATGGTATCAGTTAGATAAGTTTTGACCGTTCTATATTAAAGTCAAGGTCACGTCAAGGTCATTTCCATTAAGAATTCCCTAAACATTATGACTGAAAAATACTGCATACAATCATGCGATACGGGTGGTTCTCTTTTCTAAAGATTAAATGTTTTCCTTTTTGCATAAAAAGATGTTACTATATAGTGTCTATAAGATGATGTTACCAAATTGAAACAAATAGTTTAACAAAAATGGATTCTGGCTAATCCGATTTTTCTCTGTTTTTCTTATTTTTTAAAGGATATACCGGGGTATTAGTTATTTTTATATGAGAAGATTTTTAAAGAATTAATGTATTTTCACTATATAAACAATTAAAGAGCCCCGCCCTAACACCAGAACTCCTCACCCATGGGCTATAAAATTCACAATTTTAGAAGAGGCATTCTCGGTCATCATAACTATGTACTTAGTTTGTTTGTTTAATACCCAGGAGCAGAGAAGAAGATTTTCTAAGAATTAATGCATTTTCACTATATAACCAATAGAGCCCCGCCTAACACCAGACCCCCTGACCCAGGGGCCATGAAATTCACAAATTGGGAAGAAGCATCCTTCCGTACCATAACAATGTACATAGTTCTTTGGTTAAATATCCAAGCACAGAAGAGAAGATTTTTAAAGAATTTATGCATTTTCACTATATAACCAATAGAGCCCCGCCCTAACCCCAGAACCCCTGACCCTGGGGCCATGAAATTCACAATTTTGGAAGAGGCAATCTAATTCAACAAAACTAGGTACTTGGTTAGCTTATTTAATGCCCAGGAGCAGAGAAGAAGATTTTCAAAGTAATAATGCATTTTCACTATACAGTCTATTTAGCCCCACCTCAGCACTAGCACCCCTGACCCTGGGGCCATGAATTTCACAAATTTGGTAGAGGACTCAGTGCTGATTACAATCATGCCAATAGTTTGACTGCTTGATGTCCAGGAGCATAGAAGAAGATTTTTAAAGATTGCACTAATTTTAGTGGTTTTGGCCCCACCCCTCAGGCACCAGGGGGGCAGGGACCATGAAATTCACAAATTTTGTTCCTCTTCACCCATAAATGCTTTGTGCCAAAATTGGTTGAAATTGGTTGAGCGGTTTCAGAGAAGAAGCTGAAAATGTTCAAATCTTAACGCACAACGCACGACGCACGGCGGACAACGACGGATAGCAATAGGTCACCTGAGTTTACTCAGGTGACCTAAAAATGTAACGTTTTTTCTACATAATTAATAAGGTCCCGCTCTAGCATCCGGGGCAGAGATTTTCAAAGAAATACATGTAATGCAAATTCATCATGTTCATAATATATTTAAAGTCCTGTCCTTACACAAAACCCCTTTACCCAGGAGATATGAATTTCATGAAGTTAGGAGCTAGATGCACCCTTGTTCATCAGAACAATGTACTCAGTTTATCTACCTAATACCTATAGCTATGAGCAGAGAAGATTTTCAAAAAATTAATGCATTTCCATTGTATTAATTGTCAATAGAACACTGTCCTAAAACAAGAACAAATGACCAAGGGCCATGGAATTCACAATTTTGAAAGAGGTGCCCTAGCTTGCTCATTATAATTAAGCAGACTTTCACTTCTTGTTTTGTTTGCAGAAGAGAGTAATATTTTTAAAGAAATAGCGCATTTTCACCATATATTAAAACTGAATATAATTATTATATCATTAGAGCTCCTTCTGACTCAGGGACCATGAATTCCATAAATTTGTACAAGGTGATCTGGGTGCCTCAGGTGAACTAAAAAAAAAATGTTGGTTGCATAAATATTAAATGTTGACAATAGAGCATTGTACAGAGGAGCATCTTCTTCATGTTCTTGCAAAAGAGTATCAATAAATCAAGACAGCATCGACATGGATCCTGATTCAGTTTACATGTACCTCACTTAGTTTGCATACACAAGGACAAAATAACCTGCTCACACAAGCCGGGCAGTAGTAAGTGAGGGAATAATAAGTAAATAACAATTTGCATGATGTGAAAAATAATTTGCACATTGAGCTTGAATCATCAGCCAGTTTTAATCTAGCAGACTTGAGTAAAAGATTTCTTTTTTTACAAGACCGTCAAGGTAGTTCAGTCAATAGCCCAATGAATGGAAGATTGTGTGTTCGATGGCAGCCACTAGCTGACCTAAGTCGAAAAAATATAGGTAGCAGTTTTTCCTTCGCCAAGCGCTTGGCACTTTGAAGTGAAAGTACTGGGTCATTCGGATGAGACCTTAGCTTACAAACCGAGGCTCCATGAAAGGTGCTACATTTATAATAAAGATTAATAAAATTGACAAGTATGAAGAGAGAAAATAAGAGAGTGTGTAAATTAACCTGTGGTATTCAATTTGTTGGCACTGCCAGGTGCAGTTATAAGACCGACATTATTCAAAAAGAATTCAATATCTTAATTAGGCAATCAAGGATACTGTGATACGTCTTGGGGAAAAAAGCTTTGTAAAAAAAAAAACATGCAGTTAAAGTAAATTGGACCTCATTTAGAGCAAATCTTTATTTTTCACTCTTACTAAATAACTTGACTGTGAATTAATTAACAAGACAAATTAACCCTTTTATTAATTCATTACTTAATAAAAAACTCACAAAATATTATGAACAAATTCTCGATCCTTTTCTCACTGCGATGCAATATTCTAGATCTATAATAATTTTTAATAGGTTTTTCGTTCACATAATTAATTAAATTTTTTTGTTTCCAAACAAAAATAGTATGATTAGTTCTTGGTTCTAACCCTGATTTAAACAATATTTTCAAAAAAATTTCATTGAGAGGATTCTTAAAATGTATAGTCTTACTTTTTTCAAATTACAAGCACATGTAATTTCTAAAAACATAATTGTCTAATACCTTCAGCTTAACAGCTTTGCCCTTCTTCCAATCATTAGAAATAATGAGCTTGTTATCTTGAAGAAAAGCATTGACTTCTGTAATATGGTCTCCTGTTGTACCAAAATGATCAATTACACTCTGAAAAAAAGTTTCTGAAGTTATAAATTGGTGAAAGAAGGGTACCAGATGAAACCACTGGACGTTAGCATTTTTAATATTAAAAAAAATTGCCTAAATTTATGATAATGTATGTATCCTAATATAATCAAATAATAAGATTTTTTTCTTTTTGCATCAAAATAAAACACTCACAATCATGTGTAATTTAATTTTTTTTGGGGGGGGGGGGTATTGATATAACATTTACACATGTCAGTGATAAGACTAAGACATAACAGGGCGCCCATAACAGCGATTGTCGCTCGCAGAGCGGAATCCAATATTAGACTATCAGACCCACGCCACAGGTGTAAAACTGGATCAATAGAACATCATTATCATTGCCTTAAGCAACAGCAGCTGAACAATGCAGTTTAATCATGTTAACACTTTCTTTGATGAAAGCAAAATGACAAAAAAATTGTTTTAAAAACTTACTTGAGTAAATTTAGCGGGTATGGGTTCTCTATCATTTTGAGTTATATTTTGCAAATGAACCAGTATCCTTGTGGATGACATTTTTCTCAACTTTTTGAAAACCCTTCTTATCAACATTGAAACAAAACAACAAAACAATAAATTGAAAGTAGGCATCGGATGCAACAATACATCTATATTAATGAAAATATCCGGAGGGATTTAATATTCCCGGAGTGCAAGTGCAAACCAAATAGTCTGCATTTTCCGATTTTTTGTTCAGTGCATGAGCGGATCAAACGAGTCAAACTCAATGATAAAAAATTAGGCCATGCTTATTTTAAAATCATGATGTATATATATATATATACCTGATTAAAACTATAATATTAAGTTCTTATACTTCTTTTCAAATATCATGCACACTTGTGGCGTCTGAATCATAGGCGCTTGGTGTCTGGATGGTGTATTTTGTGTATTATGTGTTTTTCTAGGTGAGTGTGAATACCCTCATTAAAATAAAAATAAAAATTCGCTGAAATAAGCACGTTTTAAAAATGTCATATATACTGACTGTATATAAAAAGTCCTCTAAAATTTATATACAGTATATATGTGACATTTTTAAAACGTGCTTATTTCAGCGAATTTTTATTTTAATGAGGGTATTCAGACACACCTAGAAAAATACATAATACATAAAATACACCATCCTGAAACCAAGCGCCTATGGTCTGAATTAACCGTGAGAGGGAAGGGGACATATTAAATGGCTTACGAACTCTCCCCCACTTTGTTTTACAAAGCCAGAGATGTACACAGTACAGGCCTTGAAAATGGTGTTTGGTCCCAAACTGTTTTGGGGTTGGTTTAGCTCCTCCCCTTTTCAATTTGCTTCATTATTTTTCCTGTCTGTAACAGTTTATATAATCGCTGGTATTATTGTTTGCTGTCAAGGTTATTATAGTTATTCCTTTTTGCTTAAGGATATCCGATCCTCAGCCAGGAAAGATAACTCCAAAAATTAATATTTTATTTGAAATGCATCAAAATGAAGCTTGAAAATGAATTTTTTTCATGCAACAATTTTCATTTTATTCATCTTTATATGATTCAAGGTTTTTGGAAGTCTTGGAAAAGGTCTTATAAAAGTTGACTTTTATACGCTATAAAAGGGAAAAAAATGATACAGTTTTAGAGAAATAAGATTTTCTTGAATCCAGCCTTAGATACTAATGCTTATTTACAGGATATGATATAAAGAGTGATTTGTGGTGTCTTGCAATGATAGCAGAAGCCTTTTACATTATGTATTATAGAATATATGACGGAAATAGAAGACCAAAAATACCAAATAAGTATAAAAATCATGGCAATTTCTCTGAATGCCTGGATACATATCGTTTTTTAACCTAAAATATATTTGTTGATCTATTTGCAATTAGAAAATGCATTGCTCAGATTCCAATTCGCTTTTTCTGCAAAAATATTGGAGATTTGACATTTTTCCCTACATAATATGATTAACTTCAATTTTTAACTTTAAAGAAATCCCGTGGATAAATTTACATAACTTTGTGGATTCAGAGATACTTTCATGAGTACTTTTGATTACTTAACTGCTAATTTTATAAACCTGAGGATCGGACAACCTTAAGCTCGAATTTTAAAAAATGAGCAAAATCTAAGGTATATTTCTCTAGTAAGGCCCAATAATCAGCACAAGTTCTATGTATGTTATATTAAAAAACTCAAATTGCAGGGGTTTAAACTTATTAATTTTCACTAATATAGGAATGTTGTTGGAGCGTTTATTGTGCATAATGGTATAGCTTTGTCCCCTGTCTTCAGCTTTTAGCCGTCCGTTCGTCTGTTACAGGCCCGTAGGAAACAATTTCTGTTTTCTTTTGTTCATGTTTTTTTCGGGGGGGGGGGGGGGCTGCTGAATTGAGAGGTTAGAGGTTAAACCAATATCCGGATGGTTTCTTTTTTAATAATCGTATTTCATTTCAGCTTTATATTAATCTAACTCCAAGTAGCATTTGCCTCAGTTTGATTTCCCAAATTGTCTACTATATAGCTCCATTATTGCTGGAAAATGTTAGTTCTCACGGGTACAGTGTATCTGAATGTTGTTATTTTCATATTGAAATTTCTTTAAACCTTGTCTTGTCTTGAAAATTTTAGTTCATTGAGATTGGCTGTAAATGCAAAAGAAAGTAATGTTATGGTCCACTTACGCAAGTGGACAACCCACTTATTTCAAAGATTTCAGAGAAAGTTTTATGCTCGTAATAGAAGATTCCGGGGGGTGGGGTTATAATTTTTGCCATGTACGCAAAAACTTGTACTTTCACGCCCATAATTTAACAGAGACATTTATTTGCCTCTATTGGGGATTGAACTCGGGAACTCTGGCTTGACAGTCCAGTTCTCTGCCAAATGAGCGAAAGGGTTATCCCGTTAACCCAAGCTGGTAGGATGCCGTGTGTCTTACACTACTACATTATCCCCCTCCATAAAATATATGTCCTCACCTCTTTTGGAGTGCCGACACCTATGGGGCGAAGTTCAAGGGGCAAACATTCTCACCCGCCAGAGAACACACGGGTCCCAACGTGGGCGCCAAATCTAAAAGGGAAATTTATTCCCCTCTGCTGGGGATTGAATGCAACGCCTCTTGACTATTATCAACATATATCCCGCAATAATAGAAAAAAAAATTTAATAAAAAGGGCTTAATTTTTTGGACAGTCAGAGTCATAACTTAAATATCTCTTTAATATCTTTATTTTCAAAATTTAGTGAAATATGGCTTTGGCACAACCATTCATTCATTAAATGACATCCTTAAATGTCGATGCATTTTTTCTAAATCTAAGAAATAAAATTAGGTGATTACAGTAAATATAAAATAAATATCTACTCACATGAAGTAATATAAAAAAAATTCTCTTAACAAAACTAAATGCAATTTCTACTTGAATACATAAAATAATATTAAAATGGTGATCAGAAACGAGGAGTAACAATCCTCTTTTGTAAATGTAACATAATAAATTTCAAATAACATTAATATTATCAAAAAAATGTTTATATTACATAGATGATGTAATAAATGAATATAAATTTTGCTGCATTTGATGCATGAATAGATATAAGCATATACCTGGTTAAAAAAAAAAACTGTATACAACCAAAAATTGGTTTTAAAAAAATCTACTCAGTTTTCACCCAAGTTTTAATTTTTTTTAACAAGTAAAACAAAAATGAATAAATAATTCAAATTCTATAAAAACTTGTTTATATAAAAAATTATATAACCTAAATGTAATTCTATGTTATTATATTATGCAAAGTTGAATATAAGTTGTAAATAAAAATTAAATATGTTTATAAAACTTTATGTTTAAAAGTCTGACTTGTGACAATAATTTAAAATGTAAGACTTACACTGGTTAGAAGTCCTTGAATTTTTAAATTACAGACACATTTGTGAAATGTTCTACTGCAGTTTTCAGTGACATATATGACAAAAATACACATAACTATATGAGAAGTCACATATACTCCATCAAATTACAAACATTTATCTGGTACATATATGCCTATACTGTATCTTATCTGAGTTACACATTTCAAAAATATTCAGGAGCAAAAAAAAGAAAAAAAAAATCAACTCTCAACTTTCATCTTCCTTGTTCATGAGCAGAATTAACTCCACCCCCCCCCCCCCAATCCATGGCATGAAGGAGAATCAGGAATCAGAGTTAGATCACACAGTTTAACCATAAACATTGAATGCTTGTATGCTGCTATTAAAGATAAATCTTGTGAAAACTGGTAGGTAAATGAATGGGCATTTTCTGTTCAACTATTCAGAGGCTCACAACAACTCTTCAAAATTTAACTTACCCAGTAAAATGTAAATTGATCAATATGAATTTTCTTGCAACAGTTTCTAGTGAAATTCCTCAGAGTACATGTATTGGTACATACTTTAGGCATCAATGGAAGTCCACAGCTGATCTCACTTCACTGGGTTACCTCTCAAGGTAAGAGAAGCAAGACCTACTGTGGATTTCCAACAATGACTTTAAGAATTTTTTTTACATTTGCAAATTATTTCAAGTTCTAGAGATTTTCTATATAATAGTAAAAATGAACAGTGACAGTGATAAAAGCATGTTGTCTCATGGGAAAAAATACAAATTACCATTTAAGATATTGTGGGAAGTATTAATTTTGGATATTGAAGCATTCTTAAGTAACAGTATTCATTACAAGAATTGTAAGAATGTTTTCCTAAAAACCTTCTTACAAATGATCTAAAATATACCTCTCAAAAATCCAGGATACAAACAGCATTGGGAGTAAAATAATTTGAACTCTTTTAGTAAGTATTGCTATAAATTTTCCTGCACTTATATACATGTATTTAAACAATAAAATGCTTTCTTTGCTTGTTGTTACTGGAATGAACGGAAGCAGCTGTTGCAGAAAAAATACATAACCCGCGTAAGCGGGTTATGTAAATTTTTTCTGCAATAAATATTAAATATTAAATATTAATGATGCGAACGTCTTTATACGTTTCATTGATGGAACAGCCACTGATTAAGAAATCTGTACAGGCGACCTGTCTACTGTAGTTTATGCAGTGATGAACGCAATGAGGTTTCTTGAGAAATAAAGGAGGAAATATTCAGTGGATGTAAATATTTAACAATAAATGGAAATAAAGCAAAGATCATATTTTTTTTCTTTCTTTGAAGGAAAACTATACAACTTTTAGTATAAAGATCGAATACCTTATACTACCGGAAAAAAAACCCTTTTTGAACATATTTATATCATATCACAACCCCTGTTTCATGATATGTATCACATCAGGATACCTTGCATTGTCCCAGCCCTATCTGACATGCATGTTTTCACCGATATGATATTTTTTCATTTAATCATTGGATTAAGGTTTCATCTTTATCAGAGGAATGTTCTTATTATTCAAACACTTGTCACACACCCATTCAGCATACACTTCCTGTGTTAGCATGATAAAAGCAGGTTCAGTCAAGCCTGCGCACATTCGATGAAACCAAAAGTTACAACCACTTTCACAAAGAATTGCTTGGTCATTCTCATGCACCTCCTTATGGCAAACTCCACACGGGTAAATTGGAGGAGCATTAGGATTTGCTGGATTGAATACCATTGATTGATTTGGTGGATAAATTTTCCCAATGGAATGTGGGCCACCTGGTCCCATATGCATTGGTCCACCTCTAGGACTTGACATTGGATGAGCAGATCTAGGGTCTGGCATGTTTCCACCAGGACCTGACATCTGCATTTGTCCGTTTGGACCTGACATCTGCATTGGTCCATTTGGACCCGACATCTGCATTGGTCCATTTGGGCCTGTCATTTGCATTGGTCCATTTGGGCCAGACATCTGCATTGGTCCTGACATTTGCATCGGTGCATTTCCAGGACCTACCATTGACATTGGTCCATTTCCATGACCCATCATCTGCATGGGTCCATTTCCAGGTCCACCCATATGCATAGGTCCATTTCCAGGTCCAGTCATCATAGACATTGGTGGTCCATTTCCTGGACCTGACATCATTGACATAGGAGGTCCACCAGGTCCTGATATTACAGGTCCACTTCCAGACATAGGTGGGCCTGACATCATGGGTCCACCTCCTGCCATTGACATTGTTGGTCCTGACATAGAAGGTCCATTCCCTGGTCCTCCTGGTCCCATCATTGACATAGGATGTCCAGTATGATTTTGCATCTGTTATAGGCTGTCACTAATAAATGTCAAATCTAAAGCAAATGAAAATAGAATTAGATACTTTAAACTCACATATGCTCAGATTTTCAATTGCCAAAACAGAGTACTTATTAAATTTATCCATATTTTTATTATAAATATAATGTCAACAAGGACTTGATATGTCTTGATAGAGTTGCTTCTGGCAAGCCCTTTTGCTATTTTTCGTAAAATAAAATTTATCTTAATATTACAGAGATATCTCTCATTTTAGAGAGATATCTCTTAAAAAATAGAGATCTCTCCCAACTTAAAGAGATATCTCTCATTTTCAAGAGATATCTCTATGAGAAAGAGAAATATCTTTAACTTAATGTTGTTAAAGAGATATCTATCTCTCTAACATTAAGAGATATCTCTCTCGCTTAAAGAGATATCTCTCTAGCTTATAAAGATATCTCTCTAAGTAAAAGAGATATCTTTCTTACAAAAAGAGATATCTCTTGTTTAAAGAGATATCTCTATTAGTCAAAGAGATATCTCTATAAGCTAAAGTCAAGAGATTTCTCTCTATGCTTGAGAGATATCTCTCTGATTGAAATTGTTATTTCATGAATAAATAGTAAAAGGGCTTGCCATAGTTGACAGTGATTTTTTTTCTCTTCTCAAGATATCAAAATGGTTTAGGCCAAGCTTAAAAAATCCTTATTTGCAGTTGCCAACCTATAATTTTTTGAGTGGGTACACTGGGTAGGTAAGTAGGTATTTTTTTTTTTTAAATTAAGTTTTGTTAGATAACTAATAACAGAGCTTTTCATAGGCCTACTAAACATTATAATCTTCACTCTTGTATAAACCACAGATTGATAAAAACTAAAATTAAACACGTCAGTTTTATTATCCTGAAAATAAAAAAATTGTAATATAACAAAAGTTTGGGTCGAGTGCACTTTCAGTGGGTCGGAAGGCAACTGCAAACAAATAAATGTTTATATTATTTTAGTCCTTATTTACACTCTGTCTTATAAAACATGATAAAAGGAAATTATCTTTATATCTTGAAGAAAGGATTAAAAATCTTTAATTAGTTTTGCTACACTAAAAGTTTTGATATTTTCACCGTGTTGACAGTGAAAAATCTCACCTCTGAAAAACACTTTAATTATTTGGTTCAATTGCTGTATTGCACATCACCTAGTTTAGTGAAAATATATATGGCATGTCAAATGTTGCAATATTCAATTTGTATTGTATAATTTCTGTTTGTATTGTATAATTTTTCATTTTTTATGTATTGTGTAAAGGGAGAAAAGAAAATGCAGTGGACCAGACTTGGATTTGAACCAGGGCCCCCTGAATCTCCAGTTACTTAAGGTTCTCTACCGACTGAGTTATCTGGCCACCTGCAATCGAACCTGGCTGACCACCACATTCCTTCCTCCTTAAAGGTCTTTGGTCCCTCAAAGAACCCAACCAAGGCTCATCCCTGGCAGGCCTGTCACCTGTCAGTTCTAGGGCATGGCACAGCATCAGATGTATCAAGACAGGAGAAAATTTGGGCAGTCTCGCCAGTCAGCATGGTTCAATCCACCCCCAACCCCTAATAAAACGCCCTAAAATGTAGTGTGGTTGAATGCGACATTAATTTATGTGAGATCCTGTGAGCGATCAAAACAAATTTAAAATACGAGGTTTTTTTTGTCTTTTTGACCCCAAAATCGAATTCTACAGTTAAATGTTTAGTTTTAAACTTCCTTGTTATTCAAAATAAAGTTTTAACCTTGTCCTCTGAAAAAAAATTGATAAATTAATTGAAGAAATCAACAAAAAACGATTGTCAAGGAAGTGCGTGCAGCCTATGCTTAGTGCCATTTCTTTCGTACTTAGCCATTTTTTTGGTGCAAACAAACCATCGAAATGCCAATGAAGCTTAATTTTGATCTTGCAAATATTAAAGTGGCAACTGCATTTTTTAATATGTAATGATTTGGGCTCTGGATATTGGCCTGGATAGCTCAGTTGGTAGAGCACCTGACTGGAGATGCAGGGATCCTGGGTTTGATTCCCAGTCCAGCCATGCATTTTTTTCTCTCCTCAGTCGTCAGATTTGGTGCTGTTCACCATCCCTGGAATTGCAGGTGAAAGTCCTGCCGGGGGTAATAAGAACTTGGGTAGTGTTTTTGAGAGGGAAGACCATTTAAGGAGGGAGGAATATAATGGTTAGGGCCATGGATAGCTCAATTGGTCAAGCACCTGACTGGAGATACAGGGGCCCCAGGTTCGATTCCCGGTCCAGCCATACATTTTCTCCTTTCCTGTTACGGATTTGGTGCCATTCACCACCCCTGAAATTGCATGTGAAAGTCCTGCCAGGGGGTAATAAGAACTTGGGTAGTGTCTTCGAGAGGCGAAGAGCATTTAAGGAGGGAGGAATGTAATGGTGAGGGCCGTGGATATTGGCCTGGATAGCTCAGTTGGTAGAGCACCTGACTGGAGATGCAGGGGTCCCGGATTCGATTTCCAGTCCAGCCATACATTTTCTCCTTTCTAGTTACAGATTTGGTGCCGTTGACCAACCCCGGACTTGCAGGTGAAAGTCCTGCCATGGGGTAATAAGAACTTGGGTTGTGTCTTCAAGGGCCAAGGCCTGGACAGCTCAGTTGGTAGATTACAGTACAGGCAACGCGGATCCCGTATTAGACTGCGTCCCCTCCGCGGTGTATTAATCCTTTCCGCGTTACACCGTCGCGGGTTTTGATCGCGGTGCTGCCTGAGACCGTGTTTACACCGCGGCGGGGCCAGCTACCGTTATTCTTCAGCTTAGATGTTGTTACCTGTAAAGTCTTGTCGATTTTTAAATGGGGTAGCCATTTAAGATTACGACCACATTAATATTATGAATACCATTCTGTGTATTTTTTTTTTAAATTCATTTTTAAGTTTTATCAAATTCTTTAATAAAAATTACATACCAATAGTCACTCAAAATTAATTAAGCCTCAAACGCGTCTGTTGACAGTCATATTGGATGAAATATAGTTGTATAATTTATTGAATATATTTATCATGTTTATTCATAAAATCAAATTTATTTATAAAATCAATAATCTCACCACAAATGATCTTCAAATTGCTAATCTTATTAATATAATATAATTTAATATAAAATAATTTGAACACACAGCACGGAAATTCTTAAACTTATTTTAATCAGCAAGTTGTCATGAAAATACTTCAAGTTTTCAGGAGTCTGTGTAACTGGTCTATATCCTTAACGAGATACCTGCAATACCTTCACATTACGTAATCTTACATCATGAAGAGACACTGACGAAAAATTATGAATAAGATTAATAAATGTCTTGGAAACAATCATATCAAACTGTTAGTTTAGTTAAGTATTGGGTGTTTAGCTATAACTGTTCCTGTGTTTTCCTTAAACTCACATATTAATTCGACAATATCCACAAATGGTCAATAAACTGAAAAATCAGTGTCAGCAAAATCTATTCACGGCAACGATTATTATGGAATTTAAGAAAATCTTATCCATTAGCAACTTCATTAAAATTATATCATGTTTAGTTTAGTTTTATTCGATAGACTTGAGAAATCAATAATATTTATACTGATCAAAACAAGGAAAAACTGTCTTGCACGTGCCTCAAGTTGATACTGTAATGTTCGTTCTCTCTCTCTCTCTCGTAATCTACTAACTGGTACAGGGATATACAGACACGTAAATAAAATAGCAATGAATCATTATTTGATTTAATTGATTTCAAATACTTTAATTATTAATTTGTTTTAAAAGGTTTGTTGTTTTTTTTTTTTTACTTAATACACTCAGTTAAAAAAAGCAACAATATATTGACTAAAATTTCAAGGCTGTTATCTAATTTGAAAATGATATCGATGAAATAATGAAAATTTGAATCAAATGCTGTGTTGAAAGGCTAGACAACGACTTGCACATTCAGAGAGAGTTACTCAAGGTACTCTAGGACAGGTGTGAAACCCCCAGGGCATGCCGTTTCCTGCTCTGGGACTGCTAATCCCTATACACAGGAAATGATCGCGGCTAATACTTAATACACAAAGAAACAGGGTTTGTCAAAGAAATCGAAAGTATTTGATTATTTCATTCATTGAATATTATTAAAAAATTAAGTGTAATACATCCCCCTTCTTAAATTTAATTTGTTCTGTGAAGTTTATAACCGTACCTGCACATCATATATTATATTACCGCACATGAAACTGGAGAAATATTAAAATTAAAAAGAAAGACATATTGTTTACAAAAGAAACACGTGTAAATATGAAGGTCAATTGGCGATATTTTTGCTTGACATCTTGTATAAAGTTCACATGTAACTGCAAAGTGAACTCACACCATCGAAATAAAATTTATGTTTTCCGATAATTTGACACTTTGAGAAAAATGCTTGCACAATAATATAATTCAGCAAAAATAAACTAAAAAAAAGTGTTCTTAATTTGGGAAAAGAACATAAACAATGAGAAAAAAGAAGAGAAGAATTTTTTCTTGATATCTTGCGTAAAGAAAATTTAAGTTCACGTGCCCACTACATGTAACTGCAAACTATCGCCATCGAATGTTTCCCAGTAATTTGACACTATAAGAAAAATGGCTGCACATTTATACAATAAAGCGAAATTTATTAAATTATATAGGATTAAATTTTGAAAAATTAAACAATGTGAGGACTGTACATTTTACTCACAAAGATTAAAAGTGCGAAGCACTTTTATGTTAAGTTTGTGAGTAAAATGTCAAAGTTTACACTGTGTAAATTTTTCAGAAGTATTAAAGTTCGCTTATAATTCCAATATCGAATTTTTAAAAATATTCAAATTATTTCTCTTTGAGGCCTCCATACAATCCGTTAACTGGACTGAATAAAATTTTTAATTTTAATTCAAAAGGAAGTAATTTTCGAGACAAAAATAAATATATTTTTTTCAACTTAAATTGTCAAAACAAAATTAAATAAATTATAAAGACTTATCGAATGTTTTTAAGTAAACAAATATCGTAATTACGAGTTTACAGAAAGTTCGTCCTTGACCATGGCCATGTTGACATAAACGACAACTCTCATAGCGAAAGTTGCAGTAATTGATCGATGCCTTCGATTTGCACTTGTTTGTTCAAAGATTGAGGAACAATATAGAAAGTAAGTATGAATTTGATGCTTATAGGGCAAGAGTTTGAGGTACGTTTCTTTTCCCTGTCTAAACGATATAAACTGAGTTGATTATCTTCGTATTATGAACGTTGAGACAGCGATTTTTAAAATTCACACTCGTGATCGAACAGTGACATTTAACATTTTCATGGCGTCCGTCAGCTGGGCAGCCTAGCATGTCACCAGTTTTGTTTTAATTTGAAGTTTCTTGTATTTATAATTTATCCAAAACAGACAATAAATAACTGCTTTCGTTGTTTATACGATAAACTACATGTAGAAGCGAGTCTAAAAAGTAGTCTAATATGTGAAAAAAAAATTTATCGATGTGTAAAAATTTTCTTAAACGTGTTCTCGTCCAATCAAAACACAGGAATTCAATAGATACAATGAAGATTGGAATTATAGTGTTCTAAATTTTGGAAAAGAGTATAAACAATATGAGGATGTACAATTTTTTCAAAGATTAATTCTACCTTTTTTTTCAAACGAATGCTGAAAATCGTTTTTCGAAACCCACACTGTGTGAGTTCAGCAGTATTAAAGTTCGCATATAATATGAATAAATAAAAAAAAAATTAATCTAATTTTGTTTCTTGTTAGACTCTCAATAACGCAAAAAATTAACCAATTGAATAAAATTTTTAATTATAATTCAGATATCGATAGATAATTTTAGAAACAAAAATAAATATATTTTTTCTTCGTTTAATTTCTATTCATCATAGCAAAATTATATAAATGAAAATACTTCTTTTAATAAACATACAGTGTCGTTATTTTTGGTTACAGGGAAAATTCGCAAATTACAATTCAGGGAGATAACTCCCATTTGTCTGTGATACTAACTGTCAGTAATTGATCGATGATTTAACCGCGGCGGGGACAGGTAGGTGATGAAATTCCCGCGGAGGGAACGCGGTTTACCTGTCTCACCTGGCCAAATACCGCGTTGTGTTTATACCGCGACAGGGCGCGGGAAATACGGGATCCGCGTTGCCTGTACTGTACCTGACTGGAGATGCAGGGGTTCCAGTCAGATTCGATTTCCAGTCCAGCCATACATTTTCTCCCTTCCTGTTACACTTAATTCATCTAAAAGAATGAGTCACTATCCCTAAACTCTCTGATAGTATGCAAGAATAAATACATTTAGTCATTATCTCCTGCGCTGATGCTAGACTAAACCTAATCGATCAAATAATTTGCGAGGACTAACCCTAATCTCTCGTATGGATGCGAGACTAACCCTAATTAGTCTAATACTTGTGCAAAGACTAACCCTAATCTGTCAGGTCATGAGGTGGGTGCAATACCAAACCTAACCAGTCGAGTAGTGTACAAAACTAACCCTAATTATCAGTTGAGAGACGTAAATGTTACGTTGTTATCCTCTTGCAGATCTGGGGACTGGTAAAGTAAAGTCTACCCCAAGAATCATTTGAATTGTATAATTTTTCTCTTGCATTCTATATTTTCCATTTGCCTTTCTTATTTTTAAAATACTAGCTTGCTAAAGAAAATATCAAGGCAAGCCAATGCAGTTTTTTTTTTTTACATTTAGACAACACCTGCATGTTTGTGTCTATTCTTATGTGTACTGGCCTATGGGATACCAAAAGAGCAATCTAAATCAAAAATTATCAGACGGTTCTATTCTAACATTGCAGCTTTTGCATTCTTTTATTTTTTTGTTTCAGTACTGGCACTGGAATTAAGCTTGCTCTGTGACCACTTGAGACATGTAACATTTTGTTCTTATACATTCCCATAATCAAATGTCTAAACATGCAATTCGTGAGAAAAAAAGGTGATAAAATGGAAGGGTAACAACTTACCATTTTTTAAATAGGCCTAACAGTAAACTTTTGTAAAAGCTTCACCGGAAGTTTACTGAATTGAGAACCTTAAGGGGTTTGCGCTCAAGTATACAAAATTTAGAATCAAGGGTTGAATTTGTAACAACATAAAAAATTCATGAAATCTTGCGAAATTTTAATATGTGTTATTGTAATCAAGGTTAAAATCGATACATTTCATATCTATTATGTTTATTAGTAACCCCTGTGATCCATTTTCCCTTCGTTTCTCATTGAAACCAACATGGCGGCTCGCTATGAGGATTTGATCGTAAAAAAAACAAATAATGGGACACAGTTTTTTTAACAAAGCAGGTTAAATAAAAAATCACATTAGAACAAGGAAAAAAAACTTTCATAATATGATTTTGAAAAATCAGCAGAAGATATTGATTGTTTTTGCAAATCAGTGATGTTTTGACCCCATTATTGACCACGGCATCATCAAAAACATCCAGAATTTCCTCATTTTTGTTTTGCAATGTTTTAAATGCTTATGAAAGTGAAAGTAGGCCTAGTCAATACGCTGTTGAATTAATTCGTTGGTGTATCACTGTATGAGTTTTGCCATTATTGAAGTGGGTCTGAAATGTGTAGTAGAGTACCACTTGAACTGACAGTGACACTTGTTTTTTTTTTTTAACCCTTTAAAGCCGCTTGGTCCGATTCTAATCGCTAAAAATATATATTCATTTTTCTTTTTGAAAAATAATTGTCCATAAATTATTTCAACTTTTGTCAAATTATATCCCCAAAGCCTTTTTCTTTTTAAAGATATCAAATGTCAAAAGTTAAAAAAATAATTTTTGTTAGGTCACACAAAAAATAATCCTTTGTTGACATTTGTTGACATTGCGTGAAATCACCTTCGAAAAAGTAAATTTATCGCTTACATGTATAACTCATGAAGAACAAACCCGAGCATTTTCTCCACAACAAAGTGTACACGGGCAATTTCATATCTATTAAACTCCCTTTTTAAAAAATCTTTAAAAATATCTGATTTTCCTTTATCTCATTGTAAATATGCATATTAATATAAAAATTACTATGGATAATATTCAATTAATTTCTTAATATTTATATTTAGGCTTCTACTAATGGAATAAAAATACTCGGGTGTGAATTCTCTTCATAATTAGATATAACCGATAAAAGTATTTTTTTTCAAAGGTGACTTCAAAACAGATCTTAACTTCCCGTCAGGAACTGTTGTTTGTCAACAAGGTTTTTGTTCTATGTTTTCCATGTAAGGATTCTTGTAATAAACTATTAAATCAATCTTATAATTAATTTTTATATATTATCTATGTAATGACATACATTTATTTTTAAAGATAATATGTGCCTGTTTCGGATGAAGCGGCTTTAAATTTTTCTGGTGGATCCAAATCAACACACTTATCCGTCACTATGAAAATTTGGTTGGGCACAACTCATCAAACGGTCATTCATTTACCATTTGGGACCAAACTCCTATATCAGAGACTAATTATATTGACTAATTGGGGGAGCCAGGAGAAAAATCGTCAATTACAAAGAATGGCGTGGAATGGCACATAATTTCAAAACATGTGGAATAAAATAAAGATATTTATTGGTTTCTCATTTTTTAATGAAAAAATTCGGAAATTTGATCAATGTCCAGTTTTTTATGCAGAATCCTTACAAAATATGTCAAAACCGTCCCACATGTAAACATGTGCAATGTTGATCCACTTTTACTTTTTAAAAATTCCCTTCTTCCCCAAGCATCTGCCAGTCGATCGTGTCCCTTTCTTTATTTTTTGATTGTCTGGGCAACCAATCAAATAGTGCAAACCAATAAGATTTATGATCTTTTTTTAACCCAGTCAAAAGTCGGTTATAAGTATGTGTTATTTTTCTGTTGGGAAATAAAAAGTAAAACAAGGTTTTGCTTTTCTAGTATTTCATTTTGTACACATGCAATGGCTTTTTTCATAATATGTTCAATGTGCGAGGAATATGTTGAATGTTCACTAAAATTCCCCAATGTCTATGCACATGATGCAAATGTGCTTTTGCTTTATTTTAATAAAAATTGGAATAGATTAAAAAAGTCCACTGTTTGGTGGGCTGTGCTTAACCTGTTTAATTTTTTTTTTTGGGGGGGGGGGGGGGGGGATAATGTACCTCTTTTCAGGAAATATTGGATTAAAAAAATCTGAAAGGTGTTCATACATAAAACAATGTTGAACCTCCATAATCAAAGAAATATTGTTGAGGTCAAATTTTCCTCCAACCATATTTTTGCAATTGTTGTAAAGTCTATATATATTTATTAACATAATAATCTAAATAATCTAAGCTAATTTTTGAATTTATTTATTCTTACAATAAACTATACAAGTTTTAACTGACCATTGACATCTTTGACATTTTAGTATCACATACGTGACCCCTATCTAATTTATGCTGACAGAAGATTTGTAATTTAAGGAGTGAGGAAGTTTTTAATATAGGGATTTTTTTCTTCATGAAATAATGTTAAAAGGAATTTTTTTTCAAGAATATAGCTGTGTTTTGTTTTTAAGAAATTTACATATGTGATACCCCCTCCCCCTTTTTAAAAAAAGAATATTGCCTGTATAATAATACATGTACACAGACCCATATATCCTGTTTGTTACATGAATACAAGTACTTTTCAAGAGGTGCAAGAACTACAAACCATTCTTTTCTCAAACCACAAAAATTAGGCCCCACAAAAATATATGAATTTACAGTATGTAAATATTTACTGTAATGATTGCAACTGTTATGTAGAGCCATGATGCAAAGTCCAAGTAGTAATGGATCAAGACCACAGAGCACTAGCAGTGTAGTCAGTGATCGAGGACCCAGGACCACAGAGGATGTATGTATTGGAGAGGAAGTCAGGATTTCTCTGCATCTGGCAATTGAAAGATTTAGAAGAAATGAAGACCAGAAAGGTACAGAAAGGGATTTGAAAGTTGTCCTTAAATGGCTTATTCTGAATATGGTTTATCAGTTTTAATGAAATCAATTTACATTGACATGATCATATGTGTTACCTATTTAGAAATGTATAATTGACAGATATACTTACTTTTTAATGTTTTTTTTAAGAGTTGGAATTTCCCTCATCCTTAACAGCCACAGAAAGAGCATATGTGCACAGATACTGTGATACAGTAGGACTGAAACACAAGAGCAAAGGGTATACTTTTCTAAAAATTCTTGAAAAATGTACCATTCTATTGCTTTCTGAATCCGGTGTGTATCACTTTAAACTATGAAAACAGTTGTCACAGAGTTTTGTTTGTTAATCACAAACAATACAAATGTTGGAAGCATGGCCTAACATTATTTTAAAACTGGCATATAAATTAGGAAGAAAGATTTTTATTTCATCAGAGTCAATGAAGGCTAGTGTAGATGAGTTCTCATCCAAAAGCAGTTCAACTGAATTTCTAATTAAAAAAATGCCCTATTATTAAATGAATAGAGACAATAAAACAAACTTTGAACCCTCTGAGTGCACAATTACCACTGTGTCATAATTTGATTTCAGAAAAGGCAACAATAGAATATTGACAATTTCAAAAAAAGAATTAAATCAAACCCAGGCATCAGCCTCATCAGTGAAAATTATCAGGAATTCAAGACAGCAGATATGTAACCTGCTGCAGAGGTTTCCTCTTACCACCAAAGAAAGACAAGAACTGATGCCACAGATGGAGAGAAGTCAAGCATTTGACAGTAAGATCTCTGCAAGTCACATTTTAACTGTACTTACACAGTATGTGTTTGTAATTTTTCTTCGAACAATATTTTTAAAAGCAACATGCGTTATGTAAAATGTTAATCTAATTCAATTGTCTGAGTAAGAATATTGGTAATCTGAATGTTGCATGTAGATACCATCATACATTTTGTTTATATACATGTGTACACGTACTATATGTATTTTGATTTCAATTTATGTGATATTGCATGTTAAGAAAATTTGTAATACTTTTAAGCCAACAGGGAGGCTGCAAAAGCAACCATTGGGAAACTGAATAATGGAGTGGCACAGGTTCCCCCTCCCCGGGCTGGTACAGAGTTGGATGCCTTCAGAAATACACTGCCTGTCTTCCAGCACAAAGAGGAGATCATTCACAGTATCAACTCCAACAGAATTGTTCTAATCACAGGAGAAACAGGCTCAGGGAAGACAACTCAGGTATTTTTTATTAGCTCACCTGAGCCGAAGGCTCAAGTGAGCTTTTCTGATCACATTTTGTCCGTCGTCCGTCCGTCCGTCTGTAAACTTTTCACATTTCAACTTCTTCTCAAGAACCAATGGACCGAATTTAACCAAACTTGGTACAAAGCATCCTTGGGTAAGGGGGAGTTTAAATTATTAAAATGAGGGGCCAAGTCCCCTTCCAAGGGGAGATAATCAAGAAAATACAAAAATAGGGTGGGGTCATTAAAAAATCTTCTTCTCAAGAACCACTAGACCAAGAAAGCTGAAACTTATGTGGAAGCATCCTTGGGTAGTGTAAATATTAAATTGTTAAAATGATGACCCCCGGGGGTAGGGCGGGGCCACAATAGGAAATCCAAGTTTACATAGAAATATATAGAACAAATCTTTAAAAATCTTCTTCTCAAGAACCACTGAGCCAGGAAAGCTGAAACTTATGTGGAAGCATCCTTGGGTAGTGTAGATATTAAATTGTAAAAATCATGACCCCCGGGGGTAGGGCGGGGCTACAATAGGGAATCCAAATTTTACATAGAAATATATAGAAAAAATCTTTAAAAATCTTCTTCTCAAGAACCACTGAGCCAGGAAAGCTGAAACTTATGTGGAAGCATCCTTGGGTAGTGTAGATATTAAATTGTAAAAATCATGACCCCCTGGGGTAGGGCGGGGCCACAATAGGGAATCCAAGTTTTACATAGAAATATATAGAAAAAATCTTTAAAAATCTTCTTCTCAAGAACCATTGGGCCAGGAAAGCTGAAGCTTATATGAAAGCATCCTTGGGTAGTGTAGATATTAAATTGTAAAAACCATGACCCTCGGGGGTAAGGCGGGGCTACAATAGGGAATCCAAGTTTTACATGGAAATATATAGAAAAAATCTTTAAAAATCTTCTTCTCAAGAACCACTGAGCCAGGAAATCTGAAACTTATGTGGAAGCATCCTTGGGTAGTGTAGATATTAAATTGTAAAAATCATGACCCCCGGGGGTAGGGCGGGGCCACAATAGGGGATTCAAGTTTTACTTAGTAATGTATAGAACAAATCTTTAAAAATCTTCTTCTCAAGAACCATTGGGCCAGGAAAGCTGAAGCTTATATGGAAGCATCCTTGGGTAGTGTAGATATTAAATTGTAAAAAATCATGACCCTCGGGGGTAAGGCGGGGCTACAATAGGGAATCCAAGTTTTACATAGAAATATATAAAACAAATCTTTAAAAATCTTCTTCTCAAGAACCACTGGGTCAGGAAAGCTGAAACTTATGTGGAAGCATCCTTGGGTAGTGTATATATTAAATTGATAAAATCATGACCCCCAGAGGTAGGGCGGGGCCACAATAGGGAATCCAAGTTTTACATTGAAATGTATAGAATGAATCTCTTAAAAATCTTCTTCTCAAGAACCACTGGGCCAGGAAAGCTGAACGTTATGTGGAAGCATCCTTGGGTAGTGTAGATTCTAAAGTATTAAAATCCTGTAAGGGGAGGGGGTAGGGAGGGCACGATAGGTATAGCAAGAGGGGAAATTTGCTAAAGATCTGCTTCACCCAAGTTACTCATGTGAGCCATGTGGCCCATGGGCCTCTTGTTGGTCTTCATTTATTTAGAACGTATCAAAAAAAAATACACTTGTCAGTAGAGCTAGTAGATTTGATACATTTTCAAATGCTTTAACCTCATTATTGAGAATAGGTTTTGTCACAATGTAGGGTCAATTTTTTTTTACATGAGGGGAAAAATCTTTTTAAAATCTGATTAAGAACAGATGGGCAACAATGGCTCAGATGAGGATTTTTTGCCTATGGGCCTCTTATTTTAGCAGGCTCATTCCTGATGAAGCATTTGTATATGCAACCAACTTGTTTAGGTGATGTGTGTAGGGATGGAAACTATTGCATCATTCAATAGATCTATAATTTCCAAGTGCATAACTGAAATATTGTTATGTTCAACTTCACTTTGCATCTGCATTAATTTGGATATTCATTTGATGCAAGACTTAACTTTGTTCACCAATTAAAATTTCTTGAGATAAGCTCTGTAGTCTGTAATATCTACATGTATCTTTAATTATCTAATATATTGTTGATGATGATAGATCAACTATAAAAAATATGCTAATTGAAATGCTTTTTAAATAAAACTTTTATGTTTAACAGATTCCACAAATGATTCTAGATGATTGTACAGTGAACAACAAAAGGTGCCGTATACTCTGTACTCAACCCAGAAGGATAGCTGCACTCAGCATAGCAGAGAGAGTTTCTGCTGAGAGAGGGGAGAAAGTAGGACAAACTGTGGGATATCAAATCAGATTAGAGAGCAAGTAAGACATTCAGCATCAAATATCTACTGTAAAATACATGGACATCATTTTACTAATGGCCAACAGAATTGAAATATGCCTGTTTTTTCTGAAGTAGGAAAACATGAATGCATTTATAAGTAAATTTGGATACATTCACAAAATGAAAACATCCTAGAGAATTTGATTTGATACTCCTTGGAAAGGTGTGAGCATATGCAAGCCTAAATTTACATGTAAATGAATATTTTTCAGGGTATCTCCAAAAACACTTCTTACATTTTGTACCAATGGAGTATTGTTGAGAACTTTGATGAATGGAAGTCATTCTTTGTCAACTGTTACACATGTCATTGTGGTGAGATTTTGAGTTTTACGGTATTGAATATGTGCAGTGAATCAAAGTTCCATTGATTTAAATTAACTAGGCCAAAATTCTTCATATTTAATTGTATTTTATATTAAAAAGGCCAAGATTCTTAAAAAAACTCTGGAAAAAGTAGAAGCAAAGTTATTGTATAAAACTTAATTAGTTTAAAAATGTATATACAGTGTATGTGTGTCAGGCTTAACTCGAGAACTCTGCCTCATACTTACTAGGATGAAGTTCATGAGAGAGACAGATTTAGTGATTTCCTTCTCACTGCCATTAGAGATGAACTCCCTAAGTATCAACAAATGAAGCTCATTCTTATGAGTGCCTCAATGAATGTGGACTTGTTCATCAGATACTTCAACAACTGTCCTGTTTTAAGATGTAAGTCCATATATTTAAGAGCACTATCTAAGATCCAAACATTACATATTTATATACTTGCTGTTTCTGAAGTATTTGTAAACTGAATTTTTGTCACTTCAGTCCCTGGAAGTCTGTTTGATGTTGAGGAACATTTCTTGGAGGATGTGCTGAAATGGTAGTAATATTATTGGTCTTTTTTTTTTTTTAGATAAAAAGTCCCCATTTCCTTTTCAAATTGTAAATTTTACTCTTCAAAAGTGGAAATACATGCACTTCTAAAAAAATAATGCATTAGTTTAAAACTGTTTAGAATGTTTACAAACAACAGTTATTCAGTTATAAGAGGATTGAGAAATATTTATTACCGTTACATATACTGTATTGATTTTAGGACTGGTTACACAAATAAGAAAATGGAGAAACTAAAGAAAAGCCAGTCAAACTGTAAGTACCATTTGTGAATTTTGATTTGATCCCATATGATTTACTAATCAATTAATGTTTCATAAGTACCTAAAAGTTATTTGAATGGTATAAGTCACAGGTATTGTACATTTTATGTACATTCATATATAGTATGAATGATTAAATTAATATTGATAATTGAACTTTTAATATATTTCAAAATTTAAGGTACTTGGTACATGTAGGTAAAATTGATTTCTTGAACAAAGAAGAACTGCATTTGTAAAATTATTGATGAAGCATTTGATTCACATGAATTTTTCATTGTGTTTCATCATTAATGTTTTGAGAACTTTTTACTCTCAAAATCAGTGGAGAAGCAACAGAAGCAGCTGAGTCAGTGGTGTCAGATTCAGATGGAGGAGGTGACGACTACCCCTCACTCCGAGGAGATAGAGGAGAAAATGGCCGCAGAACTGTCTGAGGAGCAAAAAGTCTCCCAGGTAGTCTCCTTATTCTTTTATTTTATTGGATAGTGAGCATTATTATGGCATTGTTTTTATCCTCTCCTCCGCTGTGGAGATTTTAATAATTTTATAATAAATGAAAAAGTGAGAATTACACACAGTTGCCTGTGTTTGAAGTATTGATGATTTTTTCGATACAACAGAATACAGTCTCATATATAATACATGTACATGTATGTTTATTGAGATGCATGTTCCATTGAGATTGCAGAGTGTTACTATTTAAATGTACATGTGTACTTTACAGAATGCTGATGAGAAAGAAGAGCTAGAGCCATGGCTTGTGAAGGAAATGGATGACCTCCTGAGTGAGATATGGCTCACAGGAAATGAAGACTGCTTCTCTCAACTTATACATCTCATCAAAAGTGAAAATGTTTCAGGTTTGTCTTGCACCTTTTGTCAATATTGGAAAAGAAAATATTTCCCTTGGGACACAAGATTTAACCTGCAATGCAAGCATGTTTATTTATTTTTTTAATTTAAAAAAAAAAGGTTTTCTTGTAAAAAAATAAAAGTAAAGGTGGGAATACATAGAATATAATACATCATGTTAAAACACTGCATGATCGATGTTTGCTGTGTTGATGATAACAGTGGACTACCAGCATTCTGAGACCAGTCTCTCAGCTCTGATGATTGCCGCTGCTCGAGGCTTCACCGCTGTAGTAGAACATCTGCTGAACTTTGGAGCCAATGCCAAACTCAAATCTTCTAATGACTGGACAGCCCTGGATTTTGCAAAGAAGTTCAACCAAGAAGAGGTGATAGAAATGCTGCAAGCTTACATGTAAGTTGAAAAGAAGTACATGGCTTTTAATTAAGAATAAGGAACACATGCATGTACAAGCAATACTCTTGTAAATATGTATCCCTCTCCTCTCTTTCTTTCTCATATAGTTTGAATAAACCATTACTTTAATTACAAAGGAAAAAATACAGACTAAAAAAAGTATAATGATATTTCTTTTTATCCATCCAATCCATCCAAGGGTTGAATATGAAATGGGATCATCTGATGAAATCAGTGCCATTGCTACTGTGCCAGCTCGTATTCTCTCGGAGGAAGACAAAGAGCTGCTAAATTTGTATCAACACAGTTTTGATGATGACAAAGTGGATATAAATCTCATTTTACATTTAATAATCAGGATTCTCTCCACAAGCAAAGAAGGTATTGTTCTATTTTATTAGACAAAATTTAATGTTTTACAATTGTTTGTTAGTTCATAATATATCTTATAACAATTCTGATAGGCATTTTTAGGGCCCCGCAAGGATTTGCGGGTGCCCTATAGTAATCACTCTGTCTGTCCGTCTGTCCGTCTGTCTCTCTTCCGTCTCTCTTCCGTCCACAAATTTTCTGTTTTTTTCTAATAACTTTTTTTATGGTTGCCCAATCAAGTTCAAATTTGGTATGGTAGTTCAGTAGGCAGAAATACATTTTGAGCTAAGTTTTGTTCTCAAATTTGATTCCTTTACTATGCATAAGAATGAATGGGCAACAACAAGTTCAAATTTGGTATATTATGCAGAAATACATATTTTGACAAAGTGGATTATAATGCATTGGCAAAGAGAGATAACTGCTGAAGATGTTCCCATTGTGAAATGAACAGTCCCTTTTAAATAATCAGAGCATTATCTTTATCTCACATTGAGATGAATTACCACCTCTGTCTGCAAATGAAGTTTGTTTTGAAGTTAAGTCAATTTGGAATGCTAGAAACTGTGAAATGTGGATTTAGGTATAAATTTTTAATTCTAAAAACAAGAAATAGATTAAAGAAGATTTTTGAATTACTTTTTTTACTTTATGTTAATTAATTTTTAAGGTAGTTTTATAAAAACCCCATTCTATCATTATATATTGAAAAAGTTCTTATTGTAACTTTAGAAGAAAATGATGAGAGAGGTACAATTAAATAGCCTTGCAGAAAATGTTTTACAACTGCTGTTTGTTTGAAGTTAAGGTCAAGCCTTCATGATATTTGCATTGTTTGCATTCTATATAGCTTCATAATATACATTCAATGTTAAATTGTTCTTTACTGCCTAATGTAAATACAAGGATATTATTTTCAGGTTTTTGAATATTCAGGAATTTTTTCAGTTTTAAGAATACAGTTGCTGCATAAGCTGCACCCTTTTAATTCTACCCCATGGCGGGGCCCTTGCTGACTGGTCAGTTTTCTAGTTAATACAGATTTGAAATGTGTGTAAGGTATTGAAATGTTTGAATTCTTTTTTTAGGTGCCATATTAGTCTTTTTACCAGGTTATGATGACATTGTTACATTGAGAGAAACATTAAGTGATAACAAGAGTATGGATAAATTCAGGTAAGCAAATCATCAATACGAATACCTATATGTTTACATGTACATGATTGCAAACCACTTCATAGTTTGAATACCTTCATTTGGGTAATAAAACAAGCATTGAAAATCTTACATTTGCTTAATTTTTCCCAGGTATGTGCTATATACCTTGCATTCATCTATGCAATCCAATGACCAGAAAAGGGTATTCAAGTCTGTACCACAGGGAGTGAGAAAAATAGTAGGTACAGGCATGTTTAAAAGATATTCGCTTTCTTTACTTGTGAAATAATGTACAAGTCGAGTATTAAATATTTTTTCAATCTTATTTTAATTTTTTATGTTCTTCATTTCAGATTCTAGCCACTAACATAGCAGAGACCAGTATTACAATTAATGATGTTGTATATGTGATAGATTCTGGGAAAGTAAAAGAGGTAAGTATGTAAAACAGATGCATTAAAAGTTCATCCATCTTATAGTCTGATTTGATTTCTTGTTGTAAAGATCATCTCGCCTTTTAGCCTTATATCATTCATAGTTAATCCAAGGTGTCTTGAGGAAAAAAAGTACAGTGATTGTAATACAAATTTATAACTATAATGTAAAAATCACTGTTAGCATTCCTTGACTTGTATACTTCTAGGCCATTAGATGAAAGTTATTCATACTTTACCCATTGAGTGTTGTAAGGTATAGACCCTACTGTGACTTCAAAACCAAGTTTAAAACTCGTAGGTCAAGTTTACTGTGCAGCGGGAATAGCTCAAAAGTCTCAAACTTTGGATATTTCAGTTTTGTCTTGGTCCCATAGAATTTGAGAAAACAATAATTGACTGTATTAGCAAGAATATTATTGTGCACTTTCATCAGAAACACCACTTGTGAAATAAAATTACTTGCTTTTATTCTTTCATTGCTGAAGTGCATATAAATGTATTCATCAAAAGAGAATGAATTTATATCTTTGCAACATGGCATCCAAGAGTCATTTCAATATGTACATAATATACATGTATAAATTCATGTATATACATACATATGTAAATATATACATGTTCATGATACTGCTTACAATTTTATAAAGAATATCTGTTTTTAAAATGAAGAGAAATTTTAGAAAGTTTAAACATTCTGTCATCTTGCAACACCATTCCACCTAGAAATTTCACAGAATTCTGATTCCTAAGATTATTCAGCAGGGGAAACACTATAGCTCACTAAGCAACATACAAGTTCACTAAGCATGGGTAAAATCTACATCCTGGCATTCAGATCTCTTCTGACAAATACCAACCAACACCCAGAAAAAATAATTGGCCAAACCATTCATATACATGTACATTGAATTTCATTTCTTTTCATTCAATGTTCTTGCATAGAATGTAATCATACATTACTTTAACACATTTTCACCATGTGAATTACAAGGGTCATGTCTTGGTTACTGTTTGATGTGTTACATTCATTTATTGTAGAAAGCTTTTGATGCCCTTTTGTCATTATCAATGCTGAAGTCTACATGGATTTCAAAAGCTAGTGCACTGCAGAGAAAGGGGAGGTAAGTACAAAAACATTTCTCAGGATAAAAGTGTTTGGCTTGTGTTTTAAAACTGTTCAGGGTTTTTTTGTTTTCATTCATAACAAATAATTTGACAGGGCTGGGAGATGTAAACCTGGTGTTTGCTATCACCTCTTTAGCAGAATCAGATACAGTATGATGCAGGACTTTGCCACTCCAGAACTTCTAAGGTTTCCTCTACAGGTGAGTTTCTTCTAAACACTGTTATTCAGTATTCAAACCTGTTGTATGGTAGTATTTCTTTGGTATCGTTTTTAGCTCACGTGAGCCTTGACCCTATTTTTGCAGTTTTATAGTTTGAATAATTTTGAAATACATCGTGGTATTTTCAATTATTCTAATTCAAAATATTGAAATTTATTGTTGAAATATTTCTATCAATTTACATATACACATACAGTCATGTAGAGTAAGTTTTATTGAAATCTGACTTCTGGAAATAGTGTGGCGCCAAAATAACAGATTAAATTTTAACTTGAAAAAAATATTGGGAGAAGGGGGTCTATAGAAAGCTTGTTCTCAATATTAGCATAAGTGTCATTTGTCAGATACATGTATTTTATTAGCATCCCTTCATTGTCATTCATATGCTTTTGAGGGAACAAAGTTTTATACATTGATATATTGGTACATGTACATGTATTTACAAGAACAAGACGATAATGTGTCCATTTAACTTTAACATGCTGTAAATTCAATTTAAAAAAAATTTTTTTTTTTTTGATTTGGTGACGACAAAAGCATTGTTGCCAATGAAGTCTTGTTTTTTTTAAGGAAATTTGCCTCCATACAAAGTTGATTGCACCAATTCATTGTCCAATTGCTGAATTTTTGGCGAAGGCACCTGAACCACCTCCTTACATGGTTACAAGAAATGCTGTGTTGTTACTGAAGGTAACCAGTCATGTGTACACACATAGTACCAGATGCCACATTATTATCTGTGTCTTATTATTATATAAGCTAGTCCTTAAAAGAGGAAAAATACAGTTTGTGAAAGTTTATATGTATATGTATTGTATAACTTATTTGTTTATTACAGCAAATTGATGCTTTGGATCACTTTGAGGACTTGACAGAGATTGGTTATCATTTAGCAGACCTACCCCTGGAGCCAAGGCTGGGAAAAGTTGTTCTGTACTCTATTGTACTGAAATGCCTGGATCCAATTCTAACCATTGTGTGCGCTTTGGCATACCGAGATCCTTGTAAGTGTTTCATGTTTGGATGGATTTCAGAAATCCTGTAAAACTTAACTAAAAGTTAATTCTTAAGCTCAAACATAACAAATCTGTAAGCAAGCAGCTTTGCCCAAAATATTGTAAAACATTAAAAAAAAAAAGAAAAAAGAAGAAAATGACATTTTAGAAACCAATTTAAACATACATGTAGCTTGAAATTATTTCTTAAACTCAAACATCAGGAATCCATGACTTACAAATTTTTCCTAAAATATTTTTAATGTGACCTGAAACTATTTAGTATGTAACAATTGTCAGAGATTACCATTCTGCAAATGTCTTTTTTTTCTGAAAGTGAAATATCGCTGTGATAAGAATATAAGATAGCAAATTGATTAAGGAAAAGTTAATTGGTTGACTTTCACAGATATATTACTCCCCCATTGCATTTTTTCTTTTCCCACTGTGGATATGTTTATGTTACAGTCATTCTGCCCTCTTCACCCCATCTGAAGCGAGCAGCTGATCAGGTCAGACGTCAGTATAGCTCCAACACATTCAGTGATCACATGGCCCTACTCCGGGCTTTCCAGGTCTGTAGGTCTCCATTTTGTCCTTCTTAAAGTATTATGTTTAGATGAATTCTTAATTTTCACTGCACTTGGATAAGCTGTGTCAATAACAATACAGTGATAGCAATATTTGTCAATTAATGCAAAGAATATTCAGTAAAAAATTATGAAGTATTAATGTTTTCAGTGCAAAAAAAAGATGTGAAAATAACAGTAAAGTTTAGTATTTGAATATTCAATACAGGAGCAGAGTTCTTAAAATTCAGAACTGTGTTAAAAATTTATTTTAGAAGCTACAATTTAAATGGGAAATATAATTGTAGTACACAATATTGCTTTACATTCATTTATTCTTATTTTTAAGGGTTGGCAAAGAGCTCGCACTGACAATTGTGAGAGAACTTACTGTGAAAAGAATTTTCTGTCATCTGCTTGCATGGAAATGATAGTTGGCATGAGGTAAACTATATTTTTAATTTATGACAATTTCAGCTGTAATTTTTAAATAGTTACATGTATGTACTTTTTTGTTCAGTTCAGATATTCAGTTCAGTTCAGATGCCACAGTAGTGGAGATTCTGAATCAGACACTTAAAATATGGACAAGATTTCACGAACATGTGGTTGAAATTTTGTTTACATTACCATAATTTGTATTGTACAGGACACAACTTTTAGGACAGTTGAGAGCCTCGGGTTTTGTGAGAGCAAGGGGAGGTGGAGACATCCGTGACCTAAACACAAATTCAGAGAACTGGGCAGCAGTCAAGGCTGCTCTGTGTGCAGGGATCTATCCCAATCTTGTCAAAATTGAACGATGTACAAACATCAAAATGGTTTCACAGTGAGAAGATACAATGCACTTTTACTTGTGCTTCTTTTTGCATGTAATCTAATGTTGAAAGTTATATTTTTAAAATGCAGAATGGCTCTTAACAAATAATACACCATTTATTGCTTTTGTAGAGAACTTGACATTCAAGGATTAATTTACATACTGTACATTGTACATTATTTTTGTGCTTTATTTAAACATGCATTTACAGGAAATCTTCTGGCATCAAATTCCACACCAGTTCAGTTCTAAAGAACCCAGCCCTCTCTGAAAAGAAGGCCATTCAGAATATCCCTACAGACTGGATCCTGTATGAGGAGATGAGTCGGTATGAGAGGAGTGCTTATATCCGATGTTGTACTGCCATTTCTCCTATTACTGTAGCTCTCTTCACTGGACCCATCAAACTACCACCAGAGAGTGTCAGAGATGGCACAAAAGCCCATGGTATTTCTTTATAAAGATGCAAGAATAATTATAATTATTTGATTTTAAATTGATATACCGTAATTCGGGGAGTATAATACGCACTTTTTTTCTAAAACAAATTTCTGTGAGAAAGGTATGCGTATTATACATCACAATGGGATTTGACCAGGTTTTTTTCGTCCAGGTGAAACTGCAGGATTAGTATGAACCACAGACATAGCCTATATATAGATCGCTTTATTGCTGCTTACCATTATATTTAACCCTTAGGAAATTATTGTTGGGTCGTATGATTGTAGAAATTGATGCATATCTAAAGTATTTATAGATACATGTAAATTATTTTAAAATAACCAGTTAAAATTATTAAAATGTATTTGAGCTGTCTATTCATCATCTCTCCGTGTCTGCCGCCATTATGCCGCCATTACAGCTGTTTTTAATAGAAGTGTACATGATCCGGGCCTCAGCCACATTTTCGTAATCAACCTAATCAATCATTAATTTCAATGGATAGAATAATATATAATCGCTTGTAATAAAATACATTACCAATTTATTTTAATAAATCTTTGGAGATTCATTTCACCTGAATTTACACTTTTATCTAGCTTGCTCCACCTCTAGCTTTCCATGTTTACGTAACAATTAAAGTTCATTGTTGTAGACACCTGTGCTTTGACCTCGATGATTATGACATCCCCTAGGGCGTAAACAGCTTGTAAAGAAATCAAAAGTTTTTTTTCAATCATTTTATTAAGTTAAAACAAATCATAACGAGCATCAGAGACATGAATATATATATAAATGTATGTGGGACACAAAGACATTGTAATAAAATTATTAAAAATTATTTTCACACGCACTGATAATAATTCATAAATAATAGAGTTTTTTTTTGAAAGCATTAATATACATAGATGTTTCTATGTTCACACATAAAATTTCGTCTTTCACTTCACTTTCAAATATTTTTGACATAAAGACAAAAAAAAAAGACATGACTGTACAACAACATGCAAGTTAAACAATCAAATTAAAAAATAACTATAGTTCTTCGAACTTTCAACACATACTAATTTAAGCACCGTTTAAAAGCACTGATCAATGTTCACCACAAGTCACAGTCACTTAGAATCCCTCAAATTCCTCGTCCTCGTCGTCACTCTCGAATATCTTGTAAATGTCTCTGAGTACGGAAAGGGGGGTGTCATCATCACTATCGTCGTCGTACACGATGTCGTTGCGGTCGGCATCCTCTACATCACACTCATCAGCTGATCTGCATGGAACATCTTCCCAAAGAATATCGTCCTCGGATCCATCTAAGGCGTTGGAAATGCAGCACTTCTTAAAGGAACGGACGATGATCTGTGGATCGAGTTCATCCCACGCTTCTTTGATCCATGCACAGATGGTGTTCAGCTCGGGTTTTCGCATGCGCCCCTGGTTGGTGTACGTGTGTTCGTCGCTGCACATCCACGAATTCCACTTATGTCGCAAAGCAACTTTCATGGGTTTATTTACACTAACGTCCAGTGGTTGTAACACACTCGTCATACCTCCAGGTATGATCGCAAGGTCCGTCTGATGTGAATCTCTCAACACAGTCTTCACTGCTGGGGAGCGATGGCACCGGAAAGCGTCCAACACTAAGACACTACGGTTAACACAAGCACCTGGTCGTCGACCCCACACTCTCTCGATCCAGTCCTTGGTAATGTCATCGTCGAACCAGCCGTTTGGATGCACATTCACAATAATTCCCTTGGGAAACTGCAGTTTAGGCATAGTTTTTCTTTTAAACACTACATAGGGCGGCAGCTTTCCTCCGTCGGCAGTGCAAGCTAACATGACGGTGAATCTGTTCTTCTCGTTGCCGGTTGTCTTGATGGACACGGTTGATGCGCCTTTAGGATGGATGGTGGTGTCGGCAGGAAGATCAAAGGTCAATGGTGTTTGGTCAGCGTTGCCGATCTGGGACATGCGGTATTGATGTTTCTTCCTCATCTTGATCATGAAGCTCTGGAAGCTGGACAGCTTGTCTTCATAATCGTCAGGCAGTCTCTGGGAAATGTGTGTCCTCCGTCTTATGGATAATTTATGTCTCTTGAGAAACGCATAGCACCAATCCACCGATGCTTTGAAGTCTTGAGCTTTCGGATCTTTCTTGGCGATCTTGAGTACTTGTAGGCGAAGTTCAGCTGTCGACACACCATACCCCTGTTGTCTGCGATCAGTAACCCACGTGAGTAGTTCAGTCTCTACGGTAAAAACGCTGTGCAGCCTCTGTCTGCCATCTTGGACTTCGGTAGCTGATGCAGTCTGTCCTTCTGTCGTCGCCAGAGTCGCACGTTTGCCTCGTTGATGGAAAACTCTCTGCCTGCTGCACGGTTTCCATGGGCCTCGGCGTACGCGATAACTTTTAACTTTTCCTTCGCAGTAAACGACTGTCGTACTTTACCCATCTTTATGCAGTGGAAATTCTTAGGGCAATGATTCAATTTTTTATTTCCCTACCAAAGAATTGTTTTTACAGACAGTAATTTATTTACTGCAGTAATTAAATGGCTTTGATCGGTATCATTTTTCTAATTAATGAGGGATCGATATCCCAGCTTTGTACATCGTTTTTCACAGCTTTGGAAGTGTGTTGATAACACCTTATACGCTTGTTAAATTAGGTTTTATTTTCATAACAACAGCTATTTATTTAATTAATTTCAAGTTCAAACGAGGAAAATCGTAGTCTATTACTACTTTGATGTTGCCATATCGGGCACGCTGTTCAATTAACATAATTTTCACCATGATTACCTACAAACTAAAATAATTATAACAACTTGTAAAACTTGCAACAATATCTCGTGCTTTTTTGAATTAAAATAATTTTGCCAAAGAATATGGCGACGTATAATTTCAATACCATCGTATGAAATATAAAACAACAAACTCTGTTAATACTTTTTTACGCAACATTTTCTCATGCTTTGTTGAAATAAATTATTTTTCTGGCTTGCTGCAATATGGAAAGTATGGATTAAGAAGAAAAAAATACGCATTGAAAAAAAAAAATATTGCATTCTGCAAATTTTCGGCACTTTTTTTTCCGCGCCGATTTTCGTAGTAAATTACCGCAATTTTCAAAGTTCATAACACCGATTGATAAAATTTTCTGCTGCGTATAATACATCCGAACTGCGTTTTTTTCCCTCAGTTTCAGGCTCAAAAAGGGGGGTGCGTATTTTACATCAATGCGTATTATACTCGGCCAAATACGGTACCAAGTACATAAATTCTGTTTCCATTTTGAACTGATAGTTAAGAAATGTAAATTGATTTTTTTTTTACCAGCCATGCTACATACAGGAATGGAGGATAGTAGTGATAGTGAGGGAGAAGAAAAGGAAGACAACACTAAAACCACCTTACAGTTTGATGATTGGCTGTCCTTCAGGCTAGACAATGAGGTACACTATAGAACATACACAAACTAAAACGTAGCTCTCCTCAGTCAATCAACTGCTCTCTAAAAATGGAATTGTTTACTTTATTGTAGACAGCAAACATGGTTCTTCAGTTGAGACACAAATGGAACTGTCTCTTTCTACGGAGAATGAGGGCTCCCTCCAAACCCTGGTCACAGGTGGATGAGGTGAGGTTTTAAGTTTTCTACATTCATTTAGAGATGTTTGGGTTCATGTATTGTTAGTTATATATCTCGTAGTATCAGGAATATAAACTACAGTGACATTTACACAGTTTTCCATTGATGTACATGCATATTTTGTTTGACTTTTATAGGCTGTCATTAAAGCAGTCATCAGTGTTTTAACTAATGAGGAGCAGGCCCTCGGATTTCAGCAGCCGGCCGGTATTGGACAGAGACCAAGACCTATGAGTAAGATTTCAGTGTACATATGTACCTTTATATCATACTATTGCACAATATTGTGATTGTAAGCATAGAGAAAGACATCTGAGTACAGCAATATGAATACAAAATAAGAAGGTTTTTTTTCATAGCTATTTTTTTAAACAGCTATATATTACATACATTTTGAAGATGATTGAACGTAATTTTTTTAAAAGTAACCTGTGACTAGAAATCTTATACAGACCATACTTGTCTGGTGTATCTTTGCTGCATTTCCACAACCAGAATACCCTAAAATCTTGAAAATAAGCCGCGGCTTATTTTAAGTTTTGGTAAGAAAGTGGGGGCTTATTTTCAAAACCGGCTTATTTTCAAATTCCGGCTTATTATCAATGCAAAAAACCGGTAAGAGAAGAGAGCACAATCAAGTTTTTTTTTCCATACAATCATTGAATAAAATGTAATCGATAGAATGGAAACTACTTGTTCGATCTCTCGTCATTTTTTTTTTTTCATTGGCGTTCTCCGGTGTATGTTTTCTATGTTGTAAGCGTCTACTTTATATTTTGAGAATGTCGATCCCGAAAAGATAATTTCATTGTATACAGCATATAAATTTACATGAAATATAAACTTGTTTTTAAAAAAGTAAAAGTAATATATAAGATATCCGCTTGCAATTGAATCACTTGAAAAATTAGTCAAACAAACAAATATTTAGACAACTCAATTATACGGTACATTGAAATGTAATTACTACCAAGCCCTGCTGATCAGCAGGTTTCTTGCCTCGGGCAGTGTTACCTGACAGTTAAATGCTTTATAAACAAAAAATTCCTTTTATCAATTTACTTGTTTAATTATAACAACTGAATTTTTTTTAGCCAGCGTAGTAACATGCTTATTGGTAAAAAAATTAACTTTAATAACTACCCTTCATTAGTAATTTTACATAAGTTCATAATTAGCTACAGACTTCGTACTATGTCGTATGCAGAAATTGGTAAACTTAAGGTGAAATGAATTAAGGAAAGATAACTCAGTTTTATTTTGCACATTAAAAAAAATTTAAGACGATGCAATCGTCAAACGTTTAACATCTTTTCTAAATGGCATTGTCATGACCGGCTTATTTTCAAAACTGGCTTATTTTCGAGTAATTTTTAATGCAAGAAATAGGTGGCTTATTTTCAAAACCGGCTTATTATTAAATCCGTCTTATTTTCAAGATTCTAGGGTATTGTTTGATATTAATGTTTGTGTTACTTAAAGATAGCATTCCCTGGGGTGAAATGGTGAATTCTATTATAATAAATCATTGTCTTGAGAAGGAGAGCTTATTCTCTTTAATCTGTTAACTTTCCAGTTGAAGGCCATTGTTTTTCTTTCAGCTGAGTACATGTCTGCAGGAGGAGGGGGCTACAGTAGCTATGATTATGAGGATCACAGTAACAGGGGCAGAAGGACACCTATCACCCCACCCAAGAAACACACCACTGTCCTGCCTAGTCAGTATCTTATTGACTATGTGAACTATAGAGTGATTTATATATCTACTGTAAAATGATAAATGATACTTTTCCACATATGACAGCTTTTTAACTTGCTCATAAAATTGACCTAGACAGGATGCAGTTTTATGTAGTTACACATCTGTTAGTTTGATGTAGGTTAATAAATACATAACAAATTAAACTATTAAAATGAATTATAAAATGTGTAAACACTTTTGTGTAGTTGCTAATTAACATGGTTATGCTGTGCATACTCGATATGTAGGAAACTTCTCTAATCTGAACACCATTGCTTTCATCAAAATTGGCTGAAATTGAGAAGACTTTATAAATGTTTATCACTACACATGTCTATATTATCATTCTTGATCTGATAGGAACACCCCGTACCACTGGAAACACAAGATCAGATAGTTCCTCCACTAGCAGCAGTCCAAAGGGCAGTGGCCCCACCACTCCTTGTACCAGTCCCCAGGCTGGGGGTACTACCCTGGCAAGCTCGGGAAAATCCTTTAGCAAATATTTTGTTGTCAAACCCAATGATCAGAATATATTGGATGTTGCCTTGTCAAAATCAATTTATGCTACATCACCTAAAAGTGAAGCCAGATTTAACAAAGCAATACAGGTATAGCCAATTATCAAAAATACATGTACTGACATTTATATTTTTCTGGTATTTTTGTGTATCTCAGCTGAACTGCATTGGTTCATGATTATTGAGTACTTTCTATAATAATCAGAATTATTTTAGGATGGGAAGGAATTGTACCTAATTTTCTCTACTGTGGGTAGTGGACATTTCCAGGGTTATGCCAGAGTAACAGAACAGAGCAGCAAGGACAAGTGTCCTGATATGTCTGGAGATGGCATCGGGGGAACATTTAAGATTGAATGGATTAAAAAGTAAGTATTTTTGTGAATTAATAAATGAATAAATAGCAAATATACTGTTTATATACAAATAGGAGAATTTCTTTAAAAGTGCTGTTAAATTCTTTTGACTCAAAATTACAAGAATCAATGTAACACTCATCCAAGAAAATAGAATAAAACCTTAAAGTACTGCCTTAATATTTAAACGATAAAAGATATTATTTCTAATAAGTATAAATGCTGAAATATGTAACAGTTTTTGGATTTAAAAAATAAATACTAGTAAGTACATGTACATTCTCATTCATCATACAAAGTCTAACTTTATGCATCCATGATTTTTAATCTAACAGGGTAGTTGTACCATTTAAAGCAACACATAACATAACCAACAGTTGGAATGAAAACAAAAGGGTGCAGTACAGTAAAGATGGACATGTAAGTACTCATACAAGTTCTAAAATTTTATCTTATAGAAAAGGAAAACCATGATTAGTCATGATAATATTGCAGCATCGTCAGGTAATATAGATTCAAAATTTTCAAAACATGTCCTGTGGGTTAAGATGGAGCCTCAAAAGAAGATAAAGGTATTAGAAAAGAAATATTTACAATCTATATACATGTATTCATCATCTTCATGATTAGAAAAAGAATTTAGATAAATCCTTGGTAAGTGTAGACTCAATTTTGAGGTCAAAAGATCAGTAGCCCCTGTTTATCTTATATCCCTCACAAAATATAGCCCGAATGTCTTAAAAATTCTTTGATTGATAGCCAAAAAATCATACTAGGTTGGTCATGATATGTACATAACATCTGTTCACAAGTTTTCTGATGAAAAGTTAAAGGTCTGAAAGTTTTCTGTAACTGTGGTATATGTATACCCACATAAAATATCTGATTATTCTGTCAAGAAGCAAACCTGGAGTTGATAGTCATCAAACTTTGTAACCAACAAATAGACTAGAACATAATTTGGCCCTGTGACTCTCAGGTTAAATTTATACAGGTTGTCCCATTATTACTCAGGGACCCTGTTGAATGTCATGCTAATAAACAAACTAGATTTTCATGAATATACATAGCAGGCCTGTGGTTTTACAAGCAAATCTTGTTGCTTCAGGAGCTGGAAACATCTTGCGGAGAGAAGCTCATTCATGTTCTGCAAACATTTGAACCCAAATTGTATGAAGCATCAACTGATGAAATGAAGGAAAATGATGAAGAGACTGATTTATCAAGTGACAAAGCCTCAAAGTCTTCACATTCAGAAGAAGACAAAGATTCCCTGCTGTCTGATGAGGATAGAACAAAACAAGAGGAGGGAGACAGAAATTCAAATAACACAAGGGGTAGACATCCAGGTCAATATCAGGGTCGACATCAGCAGGGTTATGAAGGTCAGAGGCCAGGGTCATATCCTTACTCGTCTTCATCACAAAATCATCAGTATTATCATCATCAACAGCAGGGTTATCACGGTGGAGGAGGAGGCGGACATTATAACTCTAGAATGTACAACATGGGTTACCCTCCCCCCATGGGACCTAACTACAACCACCCCATGTATATGGGAATGCATTCTCCTCCCAGACATCCACTGTCACCTGTGATGATTCTACAAAGAGGTCAAAGGTCAGGAAGCCACTTTAGAGGATATCATCCAGGATATGGGTCAGGATATCACTGATTTATTGATCAGAAAGCATCTTCACTGCCATGAGTCAGGGTTTGAATAAAATCACATACACTGTAAGCACTTAGGCATCTTCTAAAGTTATCTATGTATATCATGTTTATGGTTTTCATTTAGATTTGAAATGGGTACTAATAAGGTATCTGAATAATTTCATCAAAATATATTGAAAAAAAAAAACTTTTATAATCAGAAAAAAACCTCTTATGCAACTTTTTTTTGTTTTTAAATTTTCTTTCTAATCTGAATATGCATTTAAATAGATTGGTAAAAAATACTTGATTTACAAATATTATTGCATATTTTATTTAATGCTAAATATACATCCTGTAGAAAGTTAAGATTTAGAACATATGTAAGTTATAGGCTGTTTGGTCCTTTTAATGTCTGTGTACAGGTATAAAATATCTGTACAGATGTCATCTTTGCAGTGATCATGAACAGTTCCATACAGACCAGGATGTAAAATCTTGCAAAAAATTAGTGCATTGTACTTGTAAGCAATGTAGCGTTAATGTACATGTAAATGTGCCATTACCTGTGCTTTTTAATCATTGAAAAGGTTGTAAATTCAAGAATTGGATTTATATGTTTATTTCTTTTGCTTTATTATGCATATTATGTTTTCATGAATGTTGATTTAAGCAAGGCAAAATTTTTTTTTTAAAAATGCATTTGCTGATCTTTCTTTTAAAGAAAAAAAGACATGTACATGTAATACATGAAGACATGATTTAAAAGCGTATCAGTGACACAATGGAATGAATTTAAAGATTGAATAATTGTCATTTTGTTAAATTTTCTTCCCATAATCTTTATTTTAATATGTTCTGTGCCAAATGTGTTATATACTAAATACATGTAATTGGTGTTTTTGTTGTTTCCTCTTTTTGTGTTATTGATTATTAATCTTGTATTTTGGTAAAAGAATAAAAATAAAATCATTTTCATGTGTGAGACAGATAGTGTTAAGAACTTTTATACAAAATAACGTAATTTTGTGTATGAACAAATGCTTACAGAATGCATTTAGAAACTGACTAGCTGCAGAACCGTAGCTCTCCAAAAAAATTTTGACAGACCAGAGAGCTAGTGCCACCCATTAAAAAAACATCTGTATATTTATTGCGCACAAAAAGTTGCACTTGGTTCTGGATTAAATTTTCCAAATTCTTACATCATTTGCAAAAAAGCTAGATTAAAAAAAAGTCCGTAATCCTCTATCAAGTATTCTTGTAGTTGACATCTGCTGGACCAAATAATCTTGCAAACCAAAATGAGAGTAAAAATAGACGAAATTTTCTATCATCTCAATTTCAGGGCCAGCAGGGCATAAACAGTTGTAAGTAATGTTCTGTTGTGGAAACAGTGAAAGAATGTTAGGAACACACCGTTAGTAATATTCTGAGATGACAGTTTTAAAAACAGAAATAGATCTAGAAACAGCATACTTTTTTGTGTGCAACAAATGTACAGTTTTTTCAATGGGTGGCACTGAGCTCTCAAATCTGTCAAAATGTTTCATTGGAGAGCTACAGTTCTGCAGCTAGAAACTGACAGCATGGCTATCATGTAAATTTTGAATTTACTAGTTGCTTGAAGGTAAACAAAACTTACAATGACTAGTTATCATGTACATAAACCCAATTAAATTCAGAATTTGCAACAAGAAATCTAGTTTTCATACAAGGCCGAAGCACATCTTTTGCTTAAAGGTAAAATGTTTATGCAGGCAAAAAGTGTGATATGATCTCATAGTAATTAAGGCTTTAATCTATAGAATCTGGATAGGGCCAAATGGTTCACTATTGCACCATCAAACATCAACTAAAGGATCTTTAGTGCGTTATGATGTGACTTGACAATGTGATAACAATGATGCAATAAAGCAATTAATTGTCTAGAATGTCTTCACGCCATTGCAGGCATTGCTTCATTATCTTGGGGACAATGCTTCATTGTCATGGCATCATCACTTCATTGCCCTATCAAAACCAACCCTATTGTTGCATTGGTGTGATAGTGAACTACCTGGCCCTATCTAAACTTCATATTGTTACGATGTAAAATACCCGGATTCTCCACCAAGTTTTACGGGATGAATTTGTCCGTCTCTACTGATTTTGAGTCAACGTGTTGGTGTCGTGAGGGTTTAAAGAATCTGGGTTCAACAATAAGAGGAAAGCTCATAGTTGACTCAGAATCAGTATAGACGGACAAATTCATCCCGTAAAACTTGGTGGAGAATCCGGGTATTTCACATCATAACAATACGAGGGCCGTCCAAAAATTACGCGAACTATGCTATTATTTACTCTTACAGACGTCACATAGTTATAAAATTTTGCAGAAATATGTATCTTAGAGATTCCAATAAATTTTGGGCAAAATTTCTGTATTTTAAAAAAATTCTACTAAAATAATCGGTATGTTGATATCGCTGATGGAGAGGTACGGAGCACGACAAAAAATTTAAGCCGCCAAAATTTATCTCATTAATTTTCTATAATTCGCGATATTTTTCGACAGTTTTCTCAAATGTATCTTAAAATTGTTCTATTATTATGCATTTAAATTTCTGAAGTGATATTTGGAGTACTAACAGAAATAAAGTGATTTTTCTCTGATGATTCCCGTGAAAACGACTGTGAAAATCGTCTATGTTTTAATTGACGGCGCAGCACACTTTTGTTAAATTATGTGTCCTCGAGATATCGCCAACATAATGTGACCAAAAATTATGCTTAATAAAACATGTAGTAATTAAAGTATCGTTACAGAAACGTATAGCAAATTGAAATTTTAATATATATGTAAAAAGGCTATACGGGAGGACGGGAAGAAGATTATCGACGAAAACTTTATCCGGACTGTAAAGAACGTGATTGAGAGTCACCAATATCACACAAAATCTCATAAATACCTGAAGTTTTTGGTTTTAAAACAAAAAAAAAATTTTTACTTGTTAAATAGATTTTCAGCTTGACAAGAACTGGTGTGTGGATGTTGAGTAGATAAGGTAACTCAAACTGTACAGTGACTACATGTATTGGGAAAATGTTGAGTGTGTGCTTTTCAATAACATATTTTTTGAAAACCTGTGACGTCGAAGATTTTCTGCTCCGTGACTTAATGAAGTCCTGAAAAATCACTCAAAATTGATACCAATTTACTAAAAAAAAATTTTGAAATATAAAAATCTAAAACATTTTCGATTATGTCGTCAAATATTTTTTCTGTGCAACAAGTCCGCGTAATTTTTGAACGGCCCTCGTATTGATAAATGGTCAATGGTGCCATAGTGCAATGGCTCGATAATGATGACGTGACGGCGCAATGACAATGATGCAATACTAAGATGATGCAACAGAGCTTACATTGCTTATCGTTGTACCATCATGTAATTGCTATTGCATCACCATGTATTTGCGTAATTGCTTCATTTTGTCATCACTTCATGGTCATTTCCTGCATTGTCGTTTCCTTGCACCGTCATTATCACGCTATCGCATCAACTCTTCATGTCATTGTTTCATTCTCAACTATCATGTTATTGTTTCATTCTCAATGCATCATCATGCTATTGCGCTATTGACCCAAACTTTAATGATTGATGAGACAGTGAAAGAATTTAAGTTCTGAAATTCAGATAGAGTCATATACAGACTGTACATGTAATTCACTATCACATCATTGCACCATGTCGAGGTTAGAGTCGATAGAGCGATGGAGACGAAGTGATGACGCAGTGCTGCGATAGCGATGACAGGGTGATGATGAAAATAGCGATGACGATGGCACAATAGTCCGATGACGAGCAGCAGTGTTCACTTTCTTTTCATCATGCTATCGTATCGTCATCACATTGTCGCACTATTGTACATCGTCATCGCGCTATCGCATCTAGCTGCGTCCTAACCCCAGGATCATTAAACAAACTTAAGTCAAACTTAAAGCTATATATGCCGTATTAGTTTTTTATTTTAAAAGGAATAAATATATGTGGTGTATCATCAAGATATATAAGTTATTACTTTCTGCAAATAAGGCAATTTCACTCCAACACTTTTAAAAATTATGAAATATTATTTGGTAAAATTTTTTTTCTCTCCGAATCGGACAATAAACCGCCTCTATGAAATATTCATGATGAATTATTTTATTTCAATCGAAAAGCATGATGGTTACTACGTTTTTACTACAAACACGTGAGTTAGGGATTGTCAATACGTGACCACACCTCAGAGTTGGTTGCTTTTTGTACCAAGGAATAATCATGTGCAATTGTCTTTTCACTGGACATTTTCGGTTGGGTGAACTTCAACAGCTGTCAGCGACTATGGATAAAGAAGTGTGGAAACCATGTTGTGCCAAAACGAAATAACTAATACAAACAAATGATATAACCTGATCAATCAAAATGGTTATTAGATACATTCGATTCTGCATTTTTTAATGGTTCAAAACAAAAACTTTCAAATTCGAAAGTGAAATTTGGAGTTTGGCTCTAAATAATCTGTGATTATAAATCCTGGCTTCAAATTCTGAATTATAAGTTTGAAATCAGTACATGATCGATATGTAGGTTTTAAAACTTACGAGTAAATAACACGTGTGATGCTGAAAGATATATACAAATGTACGCATTCCATAAAACTTTGTATATTTTAGGAATGAATTGTTAAGAATGACATCTGAAATTCATGGTTTTAAAATTGCTCCCTCTATATATATGTAATCATTCAATATATATTTAACTACAGAAAAAGCTATTTTTCCTCCCCCCCCCTCCTTTTGCATAAGTACATCTGATGACCTTTTTTAGCCTGTGAAGGAACATACACGTAGCATCAGTGATAAAACCTGTTCCCCAAATGTAAAAAAAAAATTACTGTTGAAAATGTTCATTGAACAAGTCGCCCCCCCCGAATTTTCCCAATTTTTGTGGCAGTATAGTTAAATAGGGTAATGTTGTAGTGGATGAAACCTATTTTACTTGTCAGGTTTCTTCGAGTTAGTCGATTTTTATTCTAACTGTTCTATCCCCCCGCCCACTTTAAAAAAACGATGCTACCTACCTGAATTAATATTTCTTAATGGTGTTCACCGAAATGCTTGGTTGTACCCTCAAACTGGAATAGTTTTTATGTGCCCAATTTTAGGAATTATAGCCCAAATATATCAAAGATTGTTTGGTATGTAAGTTTTATCTACATTTATATATGACTTAAAATATATTTGCCCATAATGCGCTCCATACTGAAGATCCGTGTCGCTATTTTAATTAACCGAAAATAGCAGTACAACACGGGGAAACTAAACAAAAGGACCTGTATAATGGAGTGGGGGAAACTTCAATTTTTATCATTGTTAATCATTTGTATGCAAATATGAACATGGGATTAGTAGATAATAATGTACATAATGCATTAAGCGTGTAAATGCTTGAGAATATGCATCAAGTCAACGAGAGCAATTTTAAAAAACTAGCCTTTTCGAATAACACAGTATTATTTTACACAGTAGTATTTTATGTAGTAACCCATAAATGCATTAAATGCAACTCATTGAGCTGATTGGTGGATTTGTGTTCCTCACTGAACAGACGTAACAAAAAATATTTTCCTCGACCTGATGATTCTCGTGATGCTTTGCCCGC